ATAGATAGATAGATAGATAGATAGATAGATAGATAGATAGATAGATAGATAGACAGACAGACAGATAATATATTTCTAGAAGGAAGCATGAGACATGAGGGTGAATATTTACAATATCAAGTTGAAAGCCAAATTTAGACACCACCAAATAAGCTTCCGTGTGAAATAAAGCTATATTATATGATACCTGATTGCCCCATAGAGGACTATAGAATTAAGTATAGTGGTCTTTAAAAGCTTAATGAGAATGTTAAATACGCAGCACCACAAAAAAAACAAGGGCAAGAAAAACAAATCTGCTCCACAGAACTTTTCAACAATTTTGTTGGCCATAACTTTGGTCTTTACATTTCTTAGTATGATTAACTTCTGAATAGCGCTAAGAGATTACAAACCTTTGTAGCTACAACTTGATATAGACCAAATATAAAAGGAAAAGGGAAAAATTACCAATTACAAAGATTTCCAGCCAGTAGCATGCCAACTGTTAACTAAGGTTTTAGGTAATTGGCCAAGTGACTCACAGAGTAAGAATGTTCACTTCCTGTGCCATGCTCTGCACCACTCCATAGCTTGGAGGAGAGGAGTGTTCACTTACCAGCCACAACTTTACATCCCTAAACAGCCAGTGCCGATTGCTCCGCCCACTCAGCCGAGAGTGGATGTAGCAAGGTGAGTCAGTATACACTCAGCCAATCGGGTTAGAGAAGCCTATGCAGGCTGCACCTTGGGAACCCTAACTTCCTTAGATTTCTCATTTGTGTGTCTGTGATGAGTCAATAAGTACTCTCTCTCCCTCTCTCTCAGCTTCCACTGCTAAAGTGCAAACAAAAGCAGCCTGTAGCTCAATGTTCTTTCAGGAGTCTTTTAATTTATCCTACAAAGCATCCAAGCCAACTGTGAATACAAAGTTTACAAGCTATTCTTGTTTCTAGAATATTCTTTAGGCCCTTGAGAGATATGTCATCAATTCTACATCATTTGTTCACTTTTACTGAAAGATGCATTTAACTACTAGATTTTTATTTCAGGTCAAAAATGTGATCCGAGCTGTCCCAATGGAAGCTGCTGGGGAGTAGGAGAGGAGAACTGCCAGAAACGTAAGTCTGTGAAGGGCCAAGGGCCTGAGAATCACGCCTCCAGTGAGCAGAGTCCACAACGTGTGGCCCTCTCTCCTACACTTTGGTAACTTGACAAGTCCAGGAGCTTGGCAACAAAGTCAGTGTTAACTGTTTCATGGACAGTCTTGCAAACTTCACCGCACTCTGCTATCTGAGGCTTGCTATTTGGGATAATTTATTCAGTAATAAAATGTCTAAAAACCAACTACCAAAGCAGCCATGGTGATAAGCAGTCCCCTGCTCCCAATTCCCCTTTTCCTGATACAGAAGTGTGACAGTGTTTCTCCAGAGAGCATATGTGTGAATCGTACTTTAAAAAGGAAATTTTTAAGTTTAATTTACTTCAGCGTGGTTGCTGTCATGTTTCTTTGAGCACTACTTCCTGCCTGCTGCTCTTCTTGCTTGTGTTCTTTCTGGGTTCCCTAGCTAATATCTACTTTTTCCAAAGATCTGATCAGACTTGCTTTAATCAGTTCTCCTAAGCAATCTGAAATAAATGATAAGAAAAACATACCAAGGGGAAAGTTGTGATTACATTGTTTGGTTGAATGTGAATGCCTAAGAGGCCTGTTCCACTGTCACTAAATCCATCTGCATCCCGTTTGCTTCTTTCTACTGTGTGCAAGCATTGTCCGTGCCCCTAGAAGATGCACTACCACCTAGAACCAGCTCATGGGTGATCTTTCTTTTTCAGTGACCAAAATCATCTGTGCCCAGCAATGTTCCCGGCGTTGCCGTGGCAGGTCCCCCAGTGACTGCTGCCACAACCAGTGTGCCGCCGGGTGTACAGGGCCCCGAGAAAGTGACTGCCTGGTAAGACTCTAGTTACTGGAAAGTTGGGCTGCTGAACTGTGCACTTGCTCCCCACCTGACAGAGACAGGGGCCTTCCTGTGGGGCACATCTTAAATAAGCGTTGTCATTGCCAACAGCGGCAGCATTGTGACGAATGCAGACAGCTGCTTCTGTGAGATCCCCTGAGAACGGTCCACAGTTATTCAGACCTTCGGTCAGGATGGCATCGATATCCTCCCATCCTCATCGTGCAGCTTTGTCCACCATGTTTTGATGCCTCCCAAGCCGCTCCCCTTCCCTCCCCCATCCCATGGTGTCTCCTTATTACCACCACCACCACAGCCACCCAAGAAGCTCTGGCGAAAGCTCTAGTGTTAACTTGGCAGACATCAGGGTTAGTGAACGAGATTCCTGAGGTCACTACGAAGCCAACCAGGGCCCCATCAGGCTCCAGAAAAGAAAGTCCACCCTTAAGCCAGAGTCCAGAGTATTCTATGGTTTCTGGAAACAGAAGATTCTTAAATTTCAGAAACTAAACCTTGCCCCAAGGATTTTTTTTTCCACTTGGGTAGTCTGGGCTCATTCTAATGAACAGCTCAGGGAAAAGACTGTGGATGGAGTTCTTAGGAAGAGCCAACGCCTGTCTGCATGGAAACTTCCTGCTGAGATTCCTGAAGTTTGAGAATAAATTCTAAATAGTATTCTAAAGTGTTCTTTATGAGAGAAACACAGTGTAAAGCTTACTTACCAATGTCATGTATAGATTTCTTCATCACCCGTAATCAATAGAGACGAGTTTTTCTAACCACAAACTCAAAGTTATGGCAACTGCGACCATCCGTATACTTAGAAATACTTCTGTGTCCTTGTGGGAGGAAGGTGTTTCTCGCTGCCCTGGACAGACTTCCTAGACTGTTTTCCTCTCTAACCAAACATCTGAACGCTGAGAGCTGCCACTGGCCTGCTGACCCGAAGGCCGCCTGGCCCCTGCCTTCTTTCATTCTGATGTCACATCCTTGACCAGACATGTTGTCCCTTTTGTGATAGGTCTGCCACAGGTTCCGAGACGAAGCCACGTGCAAAGACACCTGCCCACCCCTCATGCTGTACAACCCCACCACATATCAGATGGATGTCAACCCTGAGGGGAAGTACAGCTTTGGAGCCACCTGTGTGAAGAAGTGCCCCCGTGAGTTGCTCAGCCCTGACTCAGCAGTCCCCTGTGGCCTCTTTTGTCTTATGCTGGGGTCTTGGGCACTTTGGGGGCCGCTGCTCTGCTTGCCCTCCTGTCGGGTAGGTTAGTGCATGCCCAGCCTAGGTACAAAGAGGAGGATCCAGCTCTTTTCTGAGGGACGGAGGCGGCCTGCGGCGGGCAGGGCTCCTCTCTTCAAATGGTGCCGCACCAGAACAGATCCTCTCAGACTGCATAACAAAAACACCTACTGCTTCACCCCAAAGCTGAGGGCCAGCTGTAGTAACTCTGGGTGTCCTGGAGCTGACTAGCACAAGATCAAAACCCTCTGGACCAATCGTTCTTTGACAGACCTAAATTAAACTGACCTTCTTGAGCACAAAAACCTTTGGTTAAGGTTGGGTTCTTGGGGTTTTTCAGTTTTGTTTTTGCTTTGATTTACTCATTTGGGTTCGGGTTTGTTTATATATGATTGTACTCTACAGTACCTACAGGAAAATGGCAACATGGATAAGTCCCAAACAGAGAACGTGAAACAATATATAAAGAGCCTTTAGAACCAATTTTGACTTCCAAAAATAAGATTAAGACAAAAAAATGTAAAAGAGAAACTATGATGATGGATTTTGCCTTCCTAGATTTGGGTGACAGAAGTCCATTTAGAAACACACACACACACACACACACACACACACACACACACACACACAGAAAGAGAGAAAGAGAGAGAGAGAGAATCATGAGCCACTATAAGGAAAATGGAAAACAATGATGAAGGAAAACTCACCACAATCATAGATGGGATCTTTGTGTGAAGGCTTAGTAAGAAGATCATTAAAATCCACAGTGAACAGTAAAATCCTAAGATAACAAGAGCATATAACTCACAGATAGACTACCAGTATCCATAGTTGTGAGCATCTGTTTGGGAAACTCAAAATAAGAGCATAGAGTTTCTAATAATACTATGATCGTAAATATTAAATGGCGTAGACTACATAAAGGTGAGGGGAAGTGGAGACAAAGAATGGGGCACCTGTCTGGGAAGCAGAACGAACTGGCCCTCTCACTGCCCCACCAAGGACCACATGGCAAGTGGGAAAGGACAAAGCTGCTGACAAAGGCAGGACAGACTGTAGCCACCTCAAGGGACACAAACTGCTTGATAGGCCTTAGTGGGTGGGCAGTACACATTCAAGGTTTCCTTGTCAATTCTGAACACAGACCCAACAGAAGAGAAGACTTATGTCCAAAGAGGAGCTTTTGGTCAGTGAGCACACGTGGTCATGTTCCCTCCCACTCCTCTTTTGTGCCTGAGATCAAGTATCTGTGTTTTTCCACATTACCATCAGAAAGGCCATTAGACTCGGGCTTGGTTCCTTCTCTACTTGAAACCTGTCAGTCATTCTCCTCAAAGTAAAGTCAACCAATTACTTGGGACCTTTTCAGCAGAGCATATAGAGCAGGACGTGAGGATGTTTGTGGAAGTCTGGGAACACCTGCTGCGGCCTTCAACACCTTCTTTTCATTGCCTCTTCCTCAGGAAACTATGTGGTGACAGATCATGGCTCGTGTGTTCGGGCCTGTGGTCCTGACTACTATGAAGTGGAAGAAGATGGTGTCCGCAAGTGTAAAAAATGTGACGGGCCCTGTCGCAAAGGTAAGGAACCTACAGGTGTATTAACTTGACCTACAGGTGTATGGTGCTGAACATTTATGGTCACCTTTAAACAAACACACCTTGCTCTTTTAATTTTTTTAATTGTATTTTTGTCTGTAAAGTAGAAAATAAACTTGCAAACCCAAGGCACAAAAGTGGAGGAGGTTGGGGAATTCTGTTTAACCAGGTACAGAGGCGCCACCTGCAGCCCAGGTGGGTGAACTGTCGTAGACAGAAAGGGGAGGAGCCAATGTCTTTATGCGTGGCTAGATTCATTCCAGGTAGAAAAGAATAGGGAAAATGCAAATCTGACAGAAGTCTGTGGCAAGGACATTCCCAACTCCCACTTCAGTGACCAACAGAAACACGGAAGCCTGCCGCAGGGGTCCTGGCACCTTGGAGGGTCCCCTCAGGGTTGGTGGAATGAATTAATAATGCATGGTGCCAGGGTTCATGCTTCTGCCTGTGCAGGCCCAGCCCTTCTTAATTCAGCAAATGTTAATGGAACACACATCTCTCCTAACAGTTTGTAATGGCATAGGCATTGGTGAATTTAAAGACACACTCTCCATAAATGCTACAAACATCAAACACTTCAAATACTGCACTTCCATCAGCGGGGACCTTCATATCCTGCCTGTGGCCTTTAAGGGGTAAGTAACAGCTGAGTGACCTGGACAGACAGTTGCAAAAAAATTTTTTTTTTAAAGTTCAAGTTATATTTTATTTATGTAATGTTTACATCTTAATGGAGCCATGGTATATCACTTATCTAGAAGATGAACTACACAGAAATTTTTTTATTATTATTAGTTACATTTTATTAACGCAAAATTTTTTAAACCATGAAAAATGATCAACACTCATGTTACTGTTTGTTTCAGGGATTCCTTCACACATACTCCGCCTCTAGACCCACGGGAACTAGAAATTCTAAAAACTGTAAAGGAAATAACAGGTTTGTTCTGGGGTATCCGGGAGCACATATGGGAAATGATATTTTATAGAGAGCCTCAGATGTTTCCCCTTCTTCCCTGGCATAGGAATGTGGTGTCTGCTGCTCTACCATTATGATTAATTCTTCGAGACATTTTAACTTGCACAGTTTCTCTTTGTGCAAGTTAAAAGCACTTAAGCCAAGAATGCAGCGGCCATGTTGGACTTGATGTAGACACATGGGATGCTTCTTCCCTGATCAGAGAGGTCATCATCCTCACAGACCCTAAACCCCAGAGAGATGATGGAGGGGAAGATACAAAGTTGAGGGCTAGCAGCCAATCAGGCTCTCAGGTTGCAGAATTCAAATGCTGTTCACTGGGGAATCTTCGATCCATAACTGCCACCTGCACTCCATTTTCTTCATCTTTGAAAAGGCTTAATTTTATTTGGAAAACAAACTTGATGTGAGGATCAGAGTTAAGTGAAATAAGCATTTAAAGTGAGACCTTGATAACAGGCAACTTGAAAGCAGTCAAAGAAGGATCCAGGTGTATGACCTGTGATCCTTCAAAGACATCACTTGGTCACCTGTTGGTGGGGGTTGGCCTAGAGGTTGAGGGAGGTGCATTAAAGAATTAAAAGTTCCCGAGGCTTGGCAGGATTTCCAGTTTTGGTTAGTTTGTTAGTTTGTTAGTTAGTTTGTTTGTTTGTTTGTTTGTTTGTTTGTTTGTTTTTGAACATCACCTGGACAGGCACTATCATCCTTCATGGCAAGAACAGGAAGACTCCACTGCTGCTGTCCATTCAGCAGTCTTATCTGAGTCCTAGAAAATGGTCTCTACAAAACAAAAATTTTCTAGCACAGTGTGTCTAAGCCTTTTTTTCCCCTCTAGGATTTTTGCTGATTCAGGCTTGGCCTGAAAACTGGACTGACCTCCATGCTTTTGAGAACCTAGAAATAATACGTGGCAGAACAAAGCAACAGTAAGTTGGCCATAACAGAAGCCTAGCAGATATTTTTGGGTTTTTATTTTGAGATTTGTCTTAAAGAAGAGGTACAGAAATAGCACAAAGATGATCTTTCACTCCGCTAGTATGAGCAACTTGTGTAAGTAGAAATGAGAATGAGGATAAAGAAGTTGACGCCGTGCAACACTGTTCCTTCAGCCACATACTTCATTCTGAATTTGTCAGATTGTCCATGAATGCATTTGTTCCTTCTCTGTCCTCTCCAGTATCCCATGCTGCATTGACTTCTAATGCCTTTGTAGGCCCCATTAAACTTCCCTAGCTCCTATGTCATTTGCTCATTTTCATTGTCTTGACTCTCTGGAAAACTATGACCAGGTGTTTTACAGAATGTCTCCTTGTTTGTGTTTGGCTAATAGTTGATAATGATGCAGTTGAAAGTAAACAACATGCCATTCCAGGGGACCTAGGTAATGCTTAATGATAAATGGTTTGGATACCTGTAATGACCAGCCTTCCAGCAACAACAAGGAAATATGCATGAAGAAAAAAAGACAAATACATACATATGCACACACACATACACAGAGAAAGACAGAGGCAGAGAGACAGAAAGATAAGGGAGGAAGATCTTTCATAGAGTAAGAGAAATCCTAAGATTTGTGGTGAAGAAATGGAATTTAGAAATCTGTAGCTCATGCCTGCCTTGGAAACTTTCTGATTATGGTAACTTTTTCTGAAATTCACCACTACTAAGGGGACATAACATCATGGCATGTTAACAAATCAAAGCACCATATACACAGAATTTACATTGCTGTGCATAAACTCCTTTCGTCAGACACGTCTGATTCCAAGCGTACAGCTACGGTTGCTTCCTGCCTTTGCTCTGAAATTCACAGGAACATGCTTGTGCTGTGGTCAGCACTGTGTTTTGAGTGGCTGTGCTGTAGTCTTATGCTTAATTTTAAGCATTTAAACTATGGGATGAGCACCAGTCCCTGGTGTGAGTCACAAAAACTTGGAGCTTGACCTGCAAGAAAGACCGTAGACAGACCCTGACTCTTTGACTTCCCTGGGCGTATGCTGGGGGTGAATTCCCAGCAAGTGGGGGTTGTGGAAAATGGGCTGTGGGAAGAGATGGTTCATGAAAGGAAAAAATGGGAAGATTTGTGACTCAAAATGGGGGTCTACCAAATAATGCTTTAAACTTAGGCATTTAATCCCTTAACTCTCATTCTCCTCCTTTTGTCTTGTCTCAACTGGCCCATTCCTGATGCTCATGTGGAAGAAGATACCTTCAAATTTATACACTGCTTGTATGTGCTTTTCAGTCAATCCCATGTGACAACCCAAGCTCCTCCAGCAGGGGCTTGAGCTCAACCACCATCCCCAGGCCTGTCCCCAGCCTGCCCACCTGCACACATCCTGCATAGTCCTGTTCCTCCGAGTGGTTCAGAATTCCACTCCTCTTTGTCTGACTAACTTTCATCCAGTCATCCGGATTTCACATACCTGTAGGATCTTACCTAGCTCTGCTCTCCAGGTCTCAGATATGATGTATCATAGCGTTGAGAAAGTCCTCCTTCTGTGCTCTTTCTCCATGGAGCCATTTAAGTGCCCACCCTTGGCCAGTATAGTGCTCACTAAAGCTCAGTTCATTTCTCTGGCGTCAGAAAACTCTTCCTGTATGATTATGTCACCATTAGACAGGTCCCCTGAGGAAAAGAGACAAACACTTAAACTGTATGGTATTTGTCAAGTGGAACCACAAATATTTGCTCACTCAGCATGACTGGATAGCTGAGTAAGTGGGTAGATGGACAGACACACACATTTAAAGTACATTTTCATGTTGCAGATGCTAGAAAACATGTTCTTGATTTCTAGGAAAACTACAAATATAGTAAATGAAATGACACAAAGCCATTGATTCAGTCGTACAGATTATTCAAGGTTAAAGATAATAAGTGGCTGAGAAATTGACTTTTCCTTAAAGAAACTTAAAAACATTTACATTTTTAAAAAATTGTGATTCATACTTTTCACAGAATGATTAGTAATAATTAGAACACAATACTCAGGAAATCTAAGTGGCTCAGAAAAACAAAATTTGAGGGTGGCCTGTTGTTTTTAACTCTCGTGTACAATGCAATTTTTCTTCTCCTCCCATTTAGTGGTCAGTTTTCTCTGGCAGTTGTTGGCCTGAACATAACATCATTGGGATTGCGTTCCCTGAAGGAAATAAGTGATGGAGATGTAGTCATTTCTGGAAACCGAAATTTGTGCTACGCAAACACAATAAACTGGAAAAAACTCTTTGGGACGTCTGGTCAAAAAACCAAGATTATGAACAACAGAGCTGAGAAAGATTGCAGTAAGTAGCTGGTCCTGTCTCACCTGTGCAGACAGCTCCTAGAAGTAATCTGTTTTTAGAAGGAATTCTGAAGAGGTTTCCCCAAACATTGCATTTTCATTCCTTCATCACATTAAGATCTGCATAATCATAATGGCAGCCCTGGTGTCAGAATTATTTCCAGAGCATTCTCCTTTCATGGGGTGAATTTGCCTTGTGTGGTGTAATGTGGAATGTCCTCCAGAGGCTCCTGTGTCTGAACACCGGGTCCCTGGCTAACAGCACTGTTTGGGAAGGTAGTAGGGCCTTTAGAAGGTGGAGCTTTACTGGAGGAAGTCAGCCTTGAGGGCTGCACTTCCTGTCCACCATAAGCAGAGAAGAGCATTGCTGCCAAGCCTGACAACCTGAGTTCCGTTCCTGAGGAGGAAGGGGAGAGCCAACTCCCACAAGGAGTATTTTCACCTACATGCACACACACAGTAATGAACACACTGTGGCATGCACCTGCACACTCTCTACACGAAATAAGTACATAAATGTAGAAGATGGACTGAACACATTTTCCAGTATAAGATGTCTGTAATCCTATGTGGTCTGGGAGCACGGCACCGGGGAGTGGATGGTTTGAGTATGTTTCCAGGAGGCTTATGTGTTTTAACACTCGTGCTCTTGCTCCTGCCACAGTGATGGATGGTGTCTCCTCTTACAGGAGGCTCGTGTGTTTGAACACTCGTGCTCTTGCTTCTACCACAGTGATAGATGGCGTCTCCTCTTACACTGTTGGCCAAACAAGCCCTTCTTCCCTTGCACTGCTTCCTGTTAGATGTGTGGTCATGTCAACGAAGAAGGTGTTATAGCTCTAAGGTCCAGGCTGCTAAATATCTGTAATTACAAAACAAAAAGCAATATTCATCATACTACATTTTAAGTGCAGAGAACTCTGTACTCATTTCAGCCTTTGACCACTACAGCCAAGTACGCATGCAAACACGCTCCCAACACATATATGTCAAAGGGTGTCTGACACCCCACACTCACATTCCCAACTGTGGTTTTGAAACACTGAACTAACTTTGAGACTGGCAAATGGCCCTAGATGTGTGGCAAGACTCTCAACACAGGCATAGGTAACACTGAGTTCCAGAACTCCTCAGCCCAACTGGGCTTTGAGAACTTGTCCTTCTTATTTTAATCACTCTTGGCTTTGGCTTCCTCTTTCATACATGATGATGAGTCCAGTACCATGGTGTTCCTCAGAGACATGAAATTCTATGTTTGACACTCCTGGCATGGTGGCCAGCACTCAGCAAGCAGCTACAACCTTCCCTGCCATTTCTGTCAGCTGTGGTATCTATCATCCAAGTCTCCCCAGGGTCAGGATCAAGCTGCCCTGAGCACCACAGACAACAGGCCTTGGTGCCCTTCGCAGTGTGTCAGCCTCTCAGAAGAGTGTCGCCTTTTCTGTTCTCCCCTGTTATTGTCCCCTGACTGACCCTGTAACTCACTGTATCTTTTTAGAAGCCGTGAACCATGTCTGTGATCCTCTGTGCTCCTCAGAAGGCTGCTGGGGCCCAGAGCCCAGGGACTGTGTCTCCTGCCAGAACGTCAGCAGGGGCAGGGAGTGCGTGGCGAAGTGCAACATCCTGGAGGGGTGAGACACGGCTCTGTCAGCTTCCGTGTAGCTAGGAAAGAAGCCGCCAAGCTGTCTTCATGCCTTTGTATCTAGCCAAGTTAAATTTGTTCTCTTGCTCTTGATATCACAATATCACATTTTGTTTGGGTTTTTTTGTTGTTGTTGTTGTTTGTTTGTTCGGTTTTTTTTGTTTTTGTTTTTGTTTTTTTTTTTTGGCAATCTCTTTGTCACATTAGAAAGAAGCTTTTCATCATTCCTTAAGCCAGCCTGATAATTTATCATGTCTCTTTTCCTGAAAATACTTTAAAGTTTCATTTTACATGAATTTCCCAAGATAGAATACGTGTAAGTGGTTAGATAGCAAGAAAGCATGAGCATTTGCCCCTTTCTTTCCAGTCCACTATTCCCATTGAATTAAGATATATCACCACAGAATATTTTCCAGTTAATTTTAGGTTTATGAACCCCTTGCATACACTGACTATTGAATAGTGCAAATGATTTTTAATACAGCCAGAGACAAAGAAGTAAATCATATATTTGCTTAATTTAATCATAATCAATAAAAGTACAATGTATGCATACAAGAAGAATGTCAATATTTGAGTAACACTTTAAGTTAATACTGATAATGATTAAATAAATGACTTGAAAATTTGAATTGAAGGACAGAGAGCCTTTTTTTTCTCACTTTAAGGAACGAGGGAAAACTATGATGGGAAGAGCCATGTGAGTTACAGGCGATGCTGGGAAACCTTCCATCCTGTTTTGCTAACAGGGTGTGGACTACAGTTTGAATCCAGAAATATTCCAGATCTGGAAGGAAAGACAAATTTCATAAGAATTTCTTAATGAAATTAGGGCAACGCTATAACTGCTGTTTGAGCATGCAAAGGGCCTACATGCCCTTCCTCTTGTAAACAGGCACTCGTATTTTCAGCTTTCAGAGCTCTTCACCATACCCAGAGGCCCAGGTCTCCTTGTGTGATGTACCTGATGCCCTGAGGTGCCTGACCACCCTTCAAGCCGGGGCCCTTCTGCAGGTGGTGACACATAGACAAAACTCAGAAAAATCCCTACTGGTAATTTTTAGCAATTAGTCAGTTGGCTGTGGTTCCTTTGTTCTACTGACATAGGAACAGTAAAGTGACAAGGACAAACCAGTTCAGCGCTGGTCCTTGGCGTCTTTTGTACACTTCACGCTTAGACAGCCATGGGTAGTGGTAACAGGCAGGCGGGGACAGGAACCCATGGCACCCTCTACTGTTACAACCCTCATTCATTACTTGGCTCTTGAGACCCTTAGCTCTACAAGTCTTAGCATTCTCGTGTAGCCTTGCAGTGAAGGACTCCTAAGTGATAGAGCATGGGTGTAAGCCTAACATATGGCAATTCCCTAGCCCTCAGTTGCACTTAGTGTGGCTTCAAGAAGAGCCCGTGTAATGGGTTCCTCAGTCCTTGACAGTGATTATTGTTATAATTCTTGGGCACAGAATGTCTGAGACCTTTGACTCTAAGATCTTGGCAGCACTGTGGAGCTCTTTTCAACAACCAGGGCCTACAGTTTCTCTTCTGCTCTGTATGGTCTTCTATACTTCAGTTTTCTGTCTTCTGCTCCTGCCATTCCCTTCATGCCTGCTTTGGCTCCTAGCAAGCTGCCTCTTCCTCACCTGTCAAGCAGCTGGCAACGTGCTACTTCTGCAGCTCAGCCTAAATGACTGCTAAGCTACTACTGCTGCTCCATGGCCTCCTTCATCACATCTTTCTCTGCTGCTTTTTTCCTGATGCTTCCAGCTACTGAAAGTAGGCAAAGGAAAGGTCACTTGGGAGAAGTCAGCTAGTGGATCAATGTGTCTAATACTGCAATACCAGGAGAGACAGGACACAGGAAGATGTTTTCCAGAGGCTCCAGAAGTGAACAAGTTTGAACGTTCGTTTCCTATCCCTGAGTCCTAGTAAACATTTCTTTCCAGCTTGATATCTATGAATTGGGTCTTTAAAGGAAGGGATGGCTCATAAAGATGTTTCTTATACTTGGTTTTCTTACCTGGCATTCAAAAACTATGCCCGTTAGAAAATGTCAGAAAAGCACTCTGATCATAAATGAAGCTGTCTCTGAGATGACCGAAGGTTTGTTAGTGACCTCAGCATATTATATTTCAGGACAGTCTCAGCATTCTGTCCCTTTGACCTTACGATTCTTTTGAGCTTCTGGGATAGGTCATTTGGGTTACTTGAAACAGTTGCAGCCATTCAGGGCACAGCATAACCAGTTCACTGTGTTCTTCTCTCAGGGAGCCAAGGGAGTTTGTGGAGAAATCTCAGTGTATCCAGTGTCATCCCGAATGTCTGCCCCAGACCATGAACATCACCTGTACAGGCCAGGTAAGAGCCCTCTGCTGTTACCCACCCTGCTTTCTGGGAAACGCCTTCAGATCAGCAACAGAAACATCAGTGAGCCAAGACATCCCCAGTAGGGAAGAGGGCGGTGGGAGCCCTTTCTAAGGAAGAGAGGCACTCGATCTGATTGTGAAAGTGGCCGTGCTGAGTAAAGATGCCTCACACCTACGTTCCCAGCATCTCATACTCATTTCACCATGACTGTTCCTTCACTGTGCCACAGGACATACTGTGCTTCGGCTCAGACACTGCCAGGCAGCGTTCACAGCTTCTGCCATCTGCCACCAACACCTCATGACAATCAAATATCACAAAGTATTGTTTAACAAATCCAAGTTACTTTGTTTTTGTTGTTGTTTTGTTTTGTTTTAGGAAATCTCAGTATTTTTTTTAATTAGGCTACTTATCTACTCATACAGCAGCAAACTCGTAAGAAATGTAAGTGAGAATTCAGGTGTCTCTGACACCAAGTATTAGTACCCTGCTAATACTTGATACTATGCATGGGCAGTTCTCTGATTTGGTCTGAGTTCCAGCAGCAAAATCTAAAGCTCCTAATTGAAACATGTTTCAGAAGTTGCCCATCAATCAAGCAGCGTGAACTAGAACTGAGCTAAGAAATCTAGGCTGTCAGCATGACTGGTTACAAAGTAAGCCCTGGTCTGAGGCTTACATGGCATTGGATTGAATTTCCATTGGCACGGTGAAACAATTGCTGCTTTTGCTCTAGTGTCCCAGCTGCTCTGGCTTTGAGTGTGCTCAGCCTCTGAGCAGACAAAGCAAACCCGTTAAGGGAGCCAAGAGGAAAAGCCTTGCCTAACAGCACTGTTTCAGTGCCCCTGTGAAGTGTGAAGCGCATTACCCAGGAAGCCCCGCTGCCTTCATTTCTGAGGATTTTTCATGGACCTTCCAAGCTTTACAGACAGACTGTAAGGTTGCACATTCACAGCCCTTTCTGCAGCCAGCACCGCCATGTGTCACCTTCTTTCCCCTGGATAAATGTGAAAGGGGAGCTTACCTCAGCAAGTCGAGGTCTGACCAGCCTCAGAACTTCCTTTCAAAACTTCAAATGTGAAAGGCAAGAAAGTTGCAGATATAAAATACATGTAGCCCAATCCAAGATGGCTTTGGCAAGGATGATGCCCACAATGTCCAAAACTACTGCTAAAATACAGTGAAGAATATAGTTTAATTTGTGTTTGGGTACAATAAATGTGTTTCCTTTTTCTATGAATAACTTCATTTAGTTTATACAACTGTGTTGTGCTGGAGTGGCTGAGAATCTAATAAGAAACCAAATAACAGCTATTCTTTCTTAGCAGATTATTGTATACAAATCAGATTGCTTTGTTTATCTGATCAGAGTTAGCAAAGTTAGCAGGCCTGGCAGCCTGAGTTCCATCCCTGAGCCCCACATGGTGGAAGGGAAGCACCAAATCTCAAAAGTTTTCCACCGACTTCCACATTTTCATCCACAAACACATAAACATTATTACATAATTAATTAATTAAAAACATTTTTAAAAAGTAAATCTGGGTCAGAAATGGTCGGAAAAATGTTACCTGTCACGGGTATAGCAGGCAAGAGCAATCACAGAACTTGTCTTTTTTTTTAATTTTTTTATTTAACTTTTATTAATTACACTTTATTCATTTTGTATCCCCCATAAGCTCCTCCCTCCTCCCCTCCCGATCCCACCCTCTCTCCCCCACCCTGTTCTGCATGCCTGTCCCTCCCCAAGTCCACTGATAGGGGAGGTCCTCCTCTCCTTCTTTCTGATCTTAGTCTATCAGATCTCATCAGGAGTGGCTGCATTGTCATCTTCTGTGGCCTGGTAAGGCTGCTCCCCTCTCAGGGGGAGGTGATCAAAGAGCAGGCCAATCAGATTATGTCGGAGGCATTCCCTCTTCCCATTACTATGGAACCCACTTGGACACTGAACTGCCATGGGCTACATCTGTTCAGGGGTTCTAGGTTATCTCCATGCCTGGTATTTGGTTGGCGCATGAGTCTCTGGGAAGACCCCTGTGTACAAATTTTCTGGTTCTGTTGCTCTCCTTGTGAGGTTCCCATCCTCTCCAGATCTGACTATTTCCCACTTCTTACATAAAGTGATTTATTTTAAGAAGTTCTGCGATGGGGCTGGAGAGATGCCGCCGAGGTTAAAAGCACTGGCTGCTGTTCTAGAGGAGCGAGGCTGATTCTCGGCACCCACAGGGCAGCACACAGCCACCTGTAACTCCAGTTCCAGGGACTCTGACACCCTCTTCTAGCCTCTGTGAAGAGCAGGCATACAAGCAGTGCATAGTCAAACACATATACAACAACAACAACAATAGTATCTATATTGTTTGGTTTTTGTTTTCTATTAGTGAATATTATACGTAGAAAGTTATTTCCACTAAAAAATAGAAGTAAAATATCTACACCCTTTTCTCTGCCTTGGTTTAGGGCCCGGACAACTGCATCAAGTGTGCCCACTACATTGATGGCCCACACTGTGTCAAGACCTGCCCAGCTGGGGTCATGGGGGAGAACAACACCCTGGTCTGGAAGTACGCGGACGCCGATAATGTCTGCCACCTCTGCCATCCAAACTGCACCTATGGGTAAGTGTAGCACAGTCACCTACAACAGCATTCGGAAATTCACTGGAAATGTCTACCAAATTTCCGGGCAATAGGTTACATGGGCCAGGACACTAAGATGTTTCAACTCCGTGGTGATGGTGGCAGCAGTGATGTGCTGGTGGACAGCTCTCTTTGATGAGAACATCACTATGCCTCTCAGGATGTTTGTCTCAGGTAGTTTTGTTTCCTGGGCACTGTGTGTGCCAATGGGGAAGAGGGATGGATGGTTACCAAATTGTCACCTCTTCTTCTTCTGTATAAATAGGGTTGTAATGGGGATGTTGTGGGCCAGATGGTGGGACAAGGGCTGGGAATATGGCTAAATCAATAGCATGTTTTTCATGCAAGCATGAGGATCTTAATTTGATCCCAACACCCATGTAAAAAAAGTCAGGGGTGATGACAGCACATACCTGTAACCCTAGTACTGGAGAGGCGGAGGCTCCCTGAGGCTTTCTGTTGAACTTCAGGTAAATGAGAAATCCTGACTCAAAAAAGGGAGCAGGAGCAGCTGTGTTTGAGAAATGACAGCTGATGTTAACTTCTAGACTTTACATGGTCCATGTGCATGCACACATGGACACCCAGACACACACACACACACACACACACACACAACACAACACAGGGTAATACTTCCTGAAATGTTGTTTCTAAGTATCTTTTTAAAATCTGCTTGATTGTTAAGCTGTTATAACATAAACTAAAACTAACTTGACTAGAATTAGCAGAAGTGTTCTGATTCTATGCATCTGATTTATTGGGATACTATAAATTTGACGGTTAAATCAGATTTCACTCAGTAACCAGAATAGAATCAGAGTTATCATAAATATGTATACATACATGCATAATATATATTTGTATATCACACATCTCATTGTATTTCTTAAAACCTTCATCCTTACTCAGAACTAACACTCATTCTTTCTCTTGACCTCTCCAATACCAACTATATGGCTTTAAGGTGCTGTTTATCTAATTATATTCTTCTGAAGAAGACAATAATAAATAATTCAGCATAGATTATGGGATTTGTGGTCACTTAAAATAGTGACTAAGACAAGGTGAGCCCTTGATCAGTGAGTGATGAGTGTTAACGGTGATGGTGATTGATGCTAAGGATAGTGTTGATGGCGGTGAGGTAGATAGCAGTAGAGATATGGATAATGCTGATGGCAATGAGATGAAGAGTGGTGATGCTGGTGATATGGTTAGTGATGATGGTGATGTGAATAGTGGTGGTGACACAGATAGTGGTGATGTGGATGGTGGTGGTGATGGTGATGTGAAGAGTGGTGATGGTGGTGCCAGTTAGGACACTGGTGAGCTTATGACTGTGACAGATAGGACAATTAGCTTTCTAAGAAAACAATCATATAACCTTGAAATACTTTATTTTTCCAAAAATTTCTGATTGTGTAAAGGGGCCAGAATTTCCAGAATAATATCAGAAACAATGATAGTTGAAGTCGATGTTTGTCCTCCGATGCTGACGGGTAGGATAATGATGTTTCAGCATTAGGGATAGCGCTGGCTATTGCTCTGAAATTTCTGAAACTCGGATGTGGGCTTTGGAATGTGCCTTCTCCGCAGTGGCGATGGTTCAAAACTGTCTAGTTTCCCCTGTGTGTGCAACAGCACGCCGCTTACCTTGTCCAGTTTGTAAACTCTGCAAAGCCTGCGACAGTCAGACTCTGGTGCTTCCTAACTTAGCCCATTTTTAATTACATAAGCAGTTTTGGGGCAGATCCCCTAAAACATAACTGCACAAGCTATCTACCATAAATGCATTTCTCCCTTCTCTGGGTTGGAGTTAAGTGTGTTTCTGTCGGTGAGCGTGCACAAGCAGCCATAAGGGAGACCCCACAGCAACTGAGCAGGAGGAATTGTCACCATGCATTCTTACCTTGAAAAAGAACTAGTTTACAAGCACAGAAAGTCAAAATTTGTTCACAGTGTAAATAAAAATTGTGTTTGGTCAGTTGGTCTGACATTTTTTACCTTTTCTTCCTAGTTCTGAAGGTTCTAGTTCTAGAACTTCCTAGTTCTAGTAAGTCAGATGAAGAACATATGCTTTTGCAGAGTCTTGCTGTCACTCCCTGTATTTTATCTCAAAGTGTTTAATTACACAGAAATTGTTTGAGATGGATTTACTCTTTAAAATGTGGTGAAATGTTGATGGCAATTGCAAATGTGCATCCTTTCCCCAGTTAAATATGTATGATGTGCATATCATCAAACACTGTACCCCTAATTTTTCAGAAAAGGTAGAGCTCTTCCTGTTTTCATGTGGAAGGAAATCATGGTACTCAGCAGTACTCACAATTTATGAGCCGGTCATGTTAGAAGCTAGACCACAGCATAAGGAACCTATGTGACTCCAAGAGCCACAGATGCGGCCACCTCAGCATGTGGAGAGATACTGGAGGCACATGCATCTTTAAATTGAACCTTATTTTTTATAATAAACAAAAAGGGACATTTTCTTGAAATTTTTATCCTGGTAAATTAAACAAAAGTCCACAAGAATTTTCCCATTTTAGTTGTATGCCCCAAATGTATTTGTGACTACAATTATTTTTATAAATTTCTTTCCATGAAAGAAGGAATTGAGTTGGACACAGAATATGACAGGAGTAAATGATACAACCTCCTTGACTTGCCAGCAAGAGTCAAAAGGCGAGAGATTATACTCCGAGCTTTCCCACTGGTTTCTTAATCTTGTGATGCCCCAAACCTTCCCTTCTGCAGCATCTGTGCTGTCACTGGCCCTGTTGGTCATCCTGTTACATCTGAACTGGTTTGTCTTTCCCTCTGAGCTCACTGATCCCAGCTTCCTGTTGACAATCAATGGCAATTGTCCAGTGTAGCTTTTAAGGGCTGTAGGCAATCAAGCAGCTTGTCCAAACTGTCAATCCCCTCAGCAGGCTCAGGCTCCCAGTGTTCACATTCAACAATAAACAGACATTGTATTTGAAGAGGAGTTTAACTGACTTTGGAGAATGCTTCCTATATGTCTTTGACTATCTATTTGTGTACCTATAAGGAAACAACCAGGTTTCCTGATATGTCCTACTACTTATAAATGGAAGGCCAGCAAATAGCAAATTTGATTTATGGAATAAAGGGTCAAAAGCATTGCAGAGAGCTTTATCTGAGAGCAAGAAAAATCAGAGTCAAACCAAGAAAATACAAGAAAAGCAGAGGGTAGATATTAGAACCAACTCCTGTCCTGAGTAATAGGAACAGAGTGTTTAGGATGTGGCTCCAAATACAGTCTTTGGCATGCTGGCCCCGTCCACCCTTACATTTGGTGCTAACTGTGTGGTGACTATATACTATGTTACATTTCAGTGATGACCTGGCTGCTTTAATGAAAGATAATGCTGTCATTCAAAAATATTTTTTACCTACATTAGCAAATACATTTGTTATAGGTGATTGAATTAATGTATAGAAAATACATTAGTAACTACCCAATTTTGAGGAGACTGCGACTATAGTTATATATAGCACAATTGCTTTATGACTTAATGTGGAAAATTATCAAACAAATGCAATGAAGAAGAATGAAAATGATGTTTCTCTTTTTTTCTACAGATGTACTGGTCCAGGTCTTCGAGGATGTCCAACTGGGTGTGTTCCATGACTTCGGATTTGATATACCTTTTGGATCTATGACCAGAAGCCATTTCTGATTTCCCCATAGCCTTTTAATTTCTTCCAAATCCTCTGGGCCAGCTACAAGTCTCAGGTTTTGCCCACTTGCCCTGTGTCCATTTTGTTGGTGAGCAGTACTAGGGCCAACTTCACAAGAAGTTGATGCTATGGACCAGCGCATTTTGTCTATGTACCTGTTTCTGCAGATACAGCAGCTCTGCTTAAGTCTTAGCTCTTCTTCAGGTCTCCTCTTTTCCTCTAAGTAGATCAGATGGTTGTGTCACAAACTATGTGAATAACATTTTTGTCAAATGACAAAGTTCCAGCTTAGGGGCATTTTCTCTTTTCTTCCGACTTGAAGCACATTACCCAGTGGACTTCCCTCATCGTTTTATTTCTGATCAGTTTCCACTGTTAACGGCAATGCTGCCCTGAAAACATGAAAGTATGAATCTCTGTTCAGAACCATCGTGCCACAGTGATTTCATTAGCCAGCAGCATCTAGTGAAGAACTGAGATATCGGCAATGCCTGCTTGATGCTCAAGCTTATCTCCCGGTTGTGGAAATGTCTATAAATACCCCTTTCCTTACCAACTCCTCATTAACTTAATTCTATGGCTGCTGATTCCTTCGCCATCAGCCAAAATAGTCAAATAAAATGAAGCTTTGTCTCAGGCATGGGACCCTTCTGAATCCTATCTACTCTCTGAGTTTCCGAGAATACTTCCCCAACAGAATGCCCCATGTCTTCCTAGGTAGCCTCCATGGCCTTCTTATATGGCTTTCCATACAGTCCCCACCTTTAAAGCAGTCAGCGGCCACTCTTTGAAATCATTTCCTCATATACTGTTTTCTCTTCTCAACCAGTTGCCTTTGCTACTGTGGCTTCTCATTTGATACATGCTCTGAAATAAACCCTTCCTTGTGTATGCCAATATCCACTTTTATTGGTAAAAACTCATTAATTTTGTTAATTGTGAATTTGGTCTACAACTCACGAGATGACTTGTATTCCCTAAGAAGGAAATGTTGTAAGCCACCATTTCATGATGTACTGTTGATTCAATTACGACAGGTCTCCAAGGACTTGGGTAACTTACCAATATGCAAATAGTGCTGATAACAAATCTTTGCTATTCATTAACATGTCTACCTGATAATAAGAATAAGTTTATCATTAACTCAAATGGAGGTAAATTCTTAAGAATAATAACTTTCAGCCTAGGACACCCATAAAAGAAATGAAAAATAATCCTTAAAGATTCTAAATTCAGAGTTAATAATATTAATTCAGATGGTCCTTCATGAAGACATGAATTTGGATTTTTCATCTCTCTGAAATTAGATTTGACCTTGGTAAGACAGAGGAGTTAATACATTCCTGGGGTTTGAGGAAACACTGGGGCAACACTCACAGCAATGACAATGCTTTCTGAATCTAAACCCTATCAGGTTTTGCTCATTCACATGGGGATTACATTGAAATTAGGGGGCCCTATCAGGAATATCAGCATGTCTGGAAGGTCTCTCAACATGGCCATGGGAAATATCTGACTATTTTTTCCAACTGAATATATGTTTCCTTAGAAAGGACAAAATGCAAATTCAAAGAAAAAGCAGTATGTACTTATACAACAGAACCCTACACCTAAGGTTCAGGTTACATTGTAGAACAGAGGTTAGGAAGATCGTAAGAACCAGAAGACCAGGATATCTGCTGTTTAAAGGTGTCTTCTGTCTATGAAAGAAAGCTGTATCTGTTAATTCTCAAAAACATGCTCTCTGAACATGACCTGCATAATGGCAGTACCTGAAGACATGCCAATATGGATTTGGAAATCTCACAAAGCCCCATTCCTAGATGAAAAGCTACAAGCAATTAATGGCAGCTGAGAGAAAGAGAATCAACTTTCAGGGACAATCCCTGATAGTTTATCCAATTTCTGGTGGTCGGCCTTAAATTACAAACGCCTATGCGCCAATACTAAGTGGACTCAGCTGGTTGTATATATTTATAACATGGGACATGAAAGGAATTGAAGGTAAAAATGGGAGGAGGAATAAGGTGTAAATACAGTACTCATGCATGAGATTCTCAGAAAATAAAAAAATATTATCGTATGATCTATTTTCTGAATTTTACGCTATATATGTTCTTCATCAAAAGATTATAAAATAATGATGAGAGATGTTTAGGCAAGACCTCAATTTCTTAAATGCAGAAAAGGGAACTGACTTGGGACAGAGAACCGAAAAGTGCTGGAAACCTTGCCTTGGAAATTATCCAGCAATCATTTCCCCTAAACAGGCCACACAGTAGCCCAGTTTCTGAGATAGTTTTAAATATTGTCCATGTATCAAATGGTGCAGGACATGTGTGGAATACCAATCTTACTTTCTCTTGTCTCTCAAACTCATTCTAGGCCCAAGATCCCATCTATCGCCACTGGGATTGTGGGTGGCCTCCTCTTCATTGTGGTGGTGGCCCTTGGGATAGGCCTGTTCATGCGAAGGCGCCACATTGTCCGAAAACGTACATTACGCCGTCTGCTTCAGGAGAGAGAGGTAAGCAGTGAGACCTCGCTGCCTTTAAATCAGTAACATCTTCATTACTTTCAACTGCTGCAGAGGAGAAAGATCTTACTTTGAGACCTTGTAATATGGAATTGTATATATTGGACATGGTTTTAGCTTTCTATCACTACAACAAATACCCATGATGATCCATGTGTAATGAAGGAAGGTTAATTTCGCCAATGGTTTTAAGGTTAGGGGTTACAACATTGCTTTGGACCTTGGGCAAGAGTGCATGATGGAGGGCATTAACTCACCTCATGCCAGGGAGATGGAACTAGTGCCTCATGATCCATTCTAGATCTTGACCCCAGTCAACTAAAAGCCTCCCTGTAGGCCCCATCTCATAGAGGCCCCACTACTTTCTAACGGCATCATGGTCCATTTTTAATACTTGAGTCTTTGAAAGAGACTTGCCCAAACCATAACACATACATAATTGTCACTATTAATTTTATGTTATGATGGGAGATAGAAACGATGTTCTGTTGTACTCAATTAGTTCTATTTGGGTATTTCAATTCAACAAAGCATATGTGTTCCTAGGCAGTGTCTTTCTGAATGCAAAGCTGAGTGGAGACCTACCGGAGGGGTACCTTCTGGGCGTATACATAGGAAAAGAATCGTGAGGAGAAATAATGAAATCTTCTGTGGCTCCTTTGTGAAATCTCTATGGCATGGGTGTTTGGCTTTGCAGCCTTTAGCGCGACACCTGGGTCCAGCAGTGCATTAGAAGGAATCACCCTTTATAAGCATATTGGTGTTATGGGCTCCAGAGATGACCAAGCAGTTACGGTATAGCATTTTTCTTGCTGCTGCATTTCATTTAAAACTAACTAACATAGAAGCAGAAATGGAAAATACAGTCGTTAAACGTAGCTGTTGTTTTAAATAGATGTGTCAGAGGGTCTGTGTTTCCAAAGTGTATTCCTAGGTTCTGAAGGAAGGGTGCCCGCTGCACCATAGCACCATTGCACATGTGAACGCAGTGCGCCTTTGACCACCACATGGCCATGCTGTTAGCTACTGGCCCACTCTTCTGAATGAGTCTAAAATTCATGTCACATATTATGGAACACAGAGATGGCATCTCAGGTCTGCGCCCTTCTCCTTCTTAGCTCGTGGAGCCTCTTACACCCAGCGGAGAAGCTCCCAACCAAGCCCTGCTGAGGATCTTGAAGGAAACAGAGTTCAAAAAGATCAAGGTCCTGGGTTCTGGAGCATTCGGCACAGTGTATAAGGTAACATTCCTGGAGACAGGTCAGCAATAGGCTTCTGGGAAACAGTGTTTGCCATGTTTTCCAGCCCTGTGTGGGTAAATCAGACTCCTCAACATTTTCGTTTGCATGTACCTGTTTTGCTGAAGGTGTAGGAATCACAGTGTTTCCCCTAGGTTCTTGAACAGAATATTTTTGTTATCACTGTGAGATCAAAAGCATTTTCGTAGATGTCATTAACCATGACAGAGGCATAGACTGGGAGTGTAGAGGGCAGAGGCATATGGGGCTGCTTTTTTAGATCCATTTTTCAAGAAGTGTGATTCCAGTTAGAATTCTGGATGATCCACACTGCATTTGTAACTAAATGTATTAGTTACTTCTCTACTTCTGTAATTAAACACCACGGCCAAGGCAACTTACAGAAGACTTTATTTTAGCTCACAGTTCCAGAGGGTTAGAGTCCATCATGGCAGGGAAGCATGGCTAGGCTGCAGGCCTGGTGGAAGGAACAGGAAGATGAGAAGTCACAGCTTCAAATGCAATCACAAAGCAGGAAGAACAAACTAAAAAAAAAAAATGGTGTGAGGATTTTAATCTCATATCACACCTGCAGGAATGTACTTGCTCCAGCAAGGGTGCCCTACCCATACTTGTCCAAACGGTGCCACCAACTGGGAATCAAGTATTCGATATCTAAGGCCATGGAGGACATTTCTCATTCAAACTATTATGCCCACTCAAGCAAACATTTTTGTTTTGTTTCATCCTTATTTTTTGAGAAAAGCTTTTACTATGTAGCTCAGACTGACATCAAATTCAATCATCTTTCAATAGTGTCTCAAGTGCTGGAATTAAAGTTATGGGGCATCAAAATCCTTGGGAGCTTTATATGGTTGTTTTAAATGGTTGGAACATAATTACATCACTTTCTCTTTTCCCATTTTTCCCCTCCCCCCTCCTAAGTACCCTTCCTCCACCCTTTCCCACTCTCAAGTTGATAACTCCTTTTTCATTATGATTATTAAATATACATATAATATATACAAATGTATGTATGCTTATATGTATATCTGCAAAAATATATAAATACAACCTGCTAAGCCCCTTTGTGTTGTATGTATATGGTCTCAGGGATGACCTCTCTGCACTGGACAGCCAATATGTGGACTCACCTCTGGGAGACATAATTCAGGACTCCCAGCAGTCAATAATTACCTATAGGTTTGTTGTTGTTGTTGTTGTGTTGTTTTGTTTTGTTTTTTTGTTTTTAGGAGTGGGATCCCATGAAATTTTCCTCCTTCCACCTTACCATGTCCATTGAAATTGCAAAGTTCTCAACTTGTTTATACAGCCATTTCTAGGAAAGACAATTTCACAGCAGACTTTCTGTCTCTTAACAATCTTTCTGGTGCTTCCTCTAAAAACTCTCCATTGATCTCTGCATCATATCCAGTTGTGGTTTTCTGCGATACCCTCCATTTGCTGTAAAGAAAGACTTCTCTGGATTGACATATATTTTTTTTGTTCTGATCTAAAAACAAAACAAAACAAAATTCAGATTCCTAGAGCCAGGTAGCTAAGAATCTCTGAGATATAATGAGTCCCAGCACTGTTGGCTTTGTAATTCAGAGCCCTTGAGGATTGAAGTCATTAATAAAAATTCATCCAGCTCACAAGGCATCATGTTGCCTAGCATGGTGACTTCAGGTTAATGTCAGCCCTCTTCTTAATTTTAGGGTCTCTGGATCCCAGAAGGTGAAAAAGTGAAAATTCCTGTGGCCATCAAGGAGTTAAGAGAAGCCACATCTCCAAAAGCCAACAAGGAAATCCTTGATGTGAGTTTCTTTCTGTGTTGCACTGCCCATGGTTTCTGGATCTCAGAGACCACCTGTTCTGCTTCCTGCATTGCAATGCTCTATTTTTAAGCATTTTCCATCACCATATCATAATCACTCAGTTTTTATCTCTTTTCATCCCTCTTGATATAGAAAGTACTAGTCTCTCCAAGACTCACTCAACCCCTACATCCCCAAGAATAAAAGCTCAGAATTACCGTTCTTCTCCCAGGGCCAGTTTTGATGCTAACCTCTTAGCATATGTTACCATAGTGACTGCAGGATACACAGGTTTTACAGATGAGAGGGTGGAGCATAAACAAAGCTGCTCAGATTTCTAAGGCTGGGGTATGAAGTATGTCTCAGTATCTGACATACTTTGCCTTGCTGAAATAGCTGTCTTTGCAATACTTTTATGAACAGTGTGAAGCCTGCTAGACTGTTGCCCCACCTTCTGAAATTTCTCCCAACTAATTTAAACATCATCTCCCAACGTTGCTGATTGTTACTTTCTGGAGCTTTCAGGATGTTCTACGAGAACATCGCTTTACTTGGAATTCTACCAAATTTTCCTCCATTTCTCCTTAATCTTCTTAGCCCATGATAAGGTTGGACCCATCTACAAAGAGGGTAATGCAAAGAGACTATCTAGGAGCTGGGTAGAGCTCACTTCCATCTCTGCCAGGGCTTCTGGTAAGACATTGAAAACTACCCCTATCCTGAGCAGAAAGTTGAAGAAAGACAACACTTAGGGAAGTTCCACATTCCTAATGACAGATGATTCATGAATACAGTGTCACAGAAAATCAAGCATGCTGGCAATACACTTGTCAAGCAAAATTATCTTTCATTTAAGAGTTTACAAATCAATGCCAAGTCTTATTAATATAACCAGGAGGAGAAGTAGCCAGGAAATTGTAAAGACTTTTCACTTACAATCTCTCACTTATGCTTGCTAAAAAGAAGTCAGTCTTGCTTCCTTAGTTCCTGTTTTAATTCATTCTGGATGCACTAATAAATTACACCCAAAAAGGCAGATTGGAGCAGTGTTTGGACAGTGTTTGGATAAGAACAGTTTGGAAACATTCTCAGTGATAACTGTGCTCCAGAAAGGAAGCAAGAGATCTGCTCTTGGGGGGTGGGGATTGGAGGTGGACATAGTAAAGGCATGAAAGTCAAGCGCACCCCTCATCTGAAGGCCTCTGCTCCACTCTTGCTCTTTGACCCCTTTCTCTCTCCATTGTTCATGCTCCCTCCGCCCTCACCCTTGCATCTTTGTTCTAGTCACCTTTGGTCTTCTTCCTTTGTGACAGCTGTTGTGGCTGTGGCAGCTAGCAGATGATGACCTTCTGGGTTGCTTGCCGTGAGGCTGGGTCTGCCAGACATTCAGACCATCCTTCAGCATGGGGCCATGTGCTGTTGCTGGAAGGCTCAGTGGGGGTGCAGGCACTGAGGAACTGATTTCTGCTGAAGGAAGCAAAGCCTGTGACTCTAAGGCCAATTTCAACAGGGCACCAAGGAGCACATCAATCATCATTGCCACAAGAAAATCCTGCAGTGAGCGTGCTTTCTAAATACTGGCAGGCACTTGTGAATGGTTCCAGCAACCCCAGACTCTGTGGTCTAGCTCCTATATCATGGTTTTTAGTGATTTAATTAACTGGTAAAGGTTTTTAATGGCAGGGGTCCCTTTCGTTTTTCTTTAGAATGTGTAAGTGTGTGTACATCCATGAGTTCATATATGTGTGGACATGATATGGGGCTGCCCTGAGATGTATGTTCCACAGCACATGTGTGGAGGTCAGAGGATGACTGGTGTGTGTGTGTGTGGGGGGGGGTGTTTCTCTCTTTACATCTTTACATAAACTATAGGCTCCAGGGATCATATGTGGGTTCTCAGGCTTCCGTGGCAAACACCATTCATTACATGCTGAACCATCTCACTGGCCTTCCTACCATTCATTTGTTAAGTCCAGATTTAATGCCTTTCCAGGAATTCAGCATCTCCTGTAACCTTTTGCCCCTATTCAGAGCACAAATAATTCAGAGCAGAGTGAGACGGCAGGGAAGGATCCAGATCTCCTATCAGCAATAGTGACAGATAATAGCCTTTCAGGGTCACCGAAGCCTCAAGGACAGGCAGCCCTGCGTGAGACTGGGACAGAAGCCATCGGGGTCTCCCTTGTGAGTGCTGCCTGCTTGCAGCTGGTTCAGAGACCGTGGTGGGATGCCAAGCGTATTTGCTGCGGGTCACAATGCACCTTCCCAACCTCCAAAATAAACAGGGAAGAACAAAGCTCACTTTAACTTTTGCACACGACTACACAACACTCCCATTGTGCTGGGCGCGGGCAGGAAGTGACAGCCCAGTTCTGTTTGTCTATCATATTTTAGTAGGACCAACTGGCAGGGCTCCAGGCTCTGTGTGGCCTGACGCCCACGCCCCCTGCTCTGTTCCTGTCCCAGGCATCATCAGCCTATGGCACTTGAGCTTCTCTAACTACTCTGCTTTGCAGATGTTTTTCTCCCCCTCTAAAATGAATACAATATGTGCCCAAATCTCAGAAACATCTTGAGAAAATAGTCACAGCCAGAGGATTTCTTTGCTGTTATGATTGTACAGCTTCCCGGACCCAAAGGAGAGACGTGATTTGTGCTTTTCTGGCAATCCCACGGCCTAATAATTTTTCCATATACTTTCCAGTTTAAATTTAGGCCAGGCAATGGAAGGAAAATGTGAAACAGGTTTATACACTACAGCATACGTGTGCGAGCGGGTGGGGCTGTATGTGGGCGTTTCAGTGTGAGTGTGCAAGCATGTGTGTATGTGTGAATGTATAGGAGTGTGTCAGATGCATGAATATCCATTTCAGAGGTTGGAGCTACCACACTGAAAGCGCTTCTCCATTTGATCTTTGCAGCGCTGTTGTAGGCTGGTTGCCTGGCCCAAATGTTCCCACTCTTCACCATTCAGCCTGGATCAAGTTGCCTGTGTTGGGAAGGGAGATCTTCCTCTAGACTGCCTGCTGGTTCAGAGATCTCTCCTGTAAAATAGAGTATCTAAAGTCCCCATGACCGGGGCTTCTTGATGAAGTGAGCAGGCCATTGTCCAGGACATACTGAGATCAAAACTTGGACTCCAGAAAACCCTAACAGTATCATTAGCCATGATGGGTAGGAAGGAGGGTCTTCTCAGAGAAGATACTAGCGTTTTCTAACCTCTGAAATATCAGGGTGGTTCACATTCTGTTTTTATCAAAGCCTTTGCCAATGGCAAATTCCATTTGGGCCTTTTCCTGTCAAGAGAATTCCAACAGGCAAGACTCAAATGGAGTCTGCCTCCCTCAGTCTATGGGCCTTTAACAGTCTCACATATATGCCCCTGACATTTGTATACAGAGTACATACTTTGATACTCAAAACAGTCATTTCATTTTACCTTAAAAGGGATCCATGTGCCTCTCCCCTCAGCCACTATGCCAGGGAGCAATTGTGATACATCTGTTGTCTTTGCCTTATAGGAAGCCTATGTGATGGCCAGTGTGGACAATCCTCATGTATGTCGCCTCCTGGGCATCTGCCTGACCTCCACTGTCCAGCTCATCACACAGCTCATGCCCTACGGTTGCCTCCTGGACTATGTCAGAGAGCATAAGGACAACATTGGCTCTCAGTACCTACTCAACTGGTGTGTGCAGATTGCAAAGGTAAACGCATGGGGAGCTCTGCCTGCTGGAGTGCACAGGCAGCCAGTGGCAGGATAAATGTTTCCATGTAGAACAAAGCGCTTTGACTTGCTGTACTCTTCCCTGGTCTTCCAGGAGTGACAATGATCATTCAAAAGAGTACTAAGAAAAGCAGCAAGGGTGGTAGGTGGCAAGGGGAATATGTCTTATATCACCCTTTTGAGCCATTAGTCTCTCCACTCTGCGTAACTGGGTCAGCTGAGAAGGAAGGTGGGTGTGTGTGCATACAGGATATATAGTTTTCTTTATTTTAGCTTAAGTTCATTTGCTTGGCTTGGGCACTGAGACAATACCCACAGCTCATGCTGAAAATCCCGTCACTTCAAGTGGACAGTTTTCTCAGTACAGGTATGCAACACTATTGGATGCTGTCCTTGTTTCTCTGGAGCTCTTTTTGGTAAACAGTGTGGTAGTTTGTGGCATGGGATGGTGGTTTCCCTCAGTCAGGACTTAAGAGTAATATCAGCAAATCAGGGTGAGGCCAGAAGAAGGAGGATGAAGGAGATGGGGATGGTGTGGACATGTGGCCAGGGCAAGGATTATCATCAAGTCTGGTGTGGATGTTTAAAGAGGCCAGTGGTAGGGCTACTTCATTGGCCCCCATCACAGGCATATTCCTGAGCCAGAGAGTAGCTGAGGGATCACAAATTCCCCCAATCGCCATGGGGTGAGGATGAGCACAGAGCAAAGACCAAGCATTTAACCGTCGATAAACCTCCTAAGGACTCAAACTTTCATCTCGAATTTCCCCATCTCATTCTCAGCCGTGCATCATATTTTGGCACCAAACATGGAAAGTTTGGTTTATTCTCTAACTATAAGGGGACATTTTTACGTGGTTGAATTTAAGGAATTTGTGGTAAAGCTGGTCTCTTAAGTATATGTCATCATTCCCGTCCTCTTCAGACAGTTGGCTGTGCTGTTGAAGGATGTGCAAGGGACCATAGGAGCTGAGACAAATGGGCTCCCAGATCTGGACCAGTTTTTACTGCTTACAGCCCCTGGTCATGGTGGTAGTTGCTCCTTGCATGTAAGAGGAAGTGTTGAAGTTGCCTTATCCATCTCTACAGAGTTGCATGAACATGTGACATGACAAGACCAACTCTGTCTGAGTGCTTCGGCATAGGAGGAAGTCTGCTCCTTGGTATGAAACTCTGGGCCATGCTTCAAAAGCAAAAGCCCTATCCTCAGTGATCCAGACTGCAACATGTTTTTTATATGGTTGCACAACCTGAGAATATGCCTCAGCCACAACCTGGAAAGTCAGGACCACTCAGTCCTCTCCAGCTAGTATGACCATGTGTGCTGGCCTCTACCATTGTCCATTCTTGCTGCTCTGCACAGCATATAGGAGTTACATTATGAATGTTAGACAGTGGTCCTAGAACAGTGTCGTGTGTGCCTGAGTTGCTAAGGAATCCTGTTGCTTCTAAATGCTTATTTCTTGTGTGGTACTACCATGATAAAGTGGTCCTGATTTGATGTCTTTGTCACAGTAAAAGCTTATCACCATGTTGTTCTAGAGGCCAGCAGTCCAACCTCAGGCTGTTCAAGAGGCAACGGCTTTCAGGGCTCTTGGGAGGCCCACTGCATGTCTCTCAGCTTCTGATGTCCCCAGCACTTTTTAGCTTTTGTGTCAGCAGTCCCTGCTTCTTTCTCCATCTGACATTTTCCCTGTCTCTGTGTCCAGATGCCCCTCTATTTTCACATAAAGATGCCAGTGACTGGGTTCGAAAATACTAACTAGCAGATTGTTAATATCCCAACAAGAAAGAGATGAGGTTACAGCTATGCTGCTTAGCTTATCTTACTTTCTCCACGTCAGGAACACTCACAAAAGCATCAAGTTGCATCTCATAAATATATAGAAAAAAAGAGGTGCCAATCATTGGACTTAGGGCCCATCCAAAATCCAAATTTATGTGCATCAACATTTGTAAGTAATTAGGTTTTCAAAGTCCCATTTCCAAATAAAGTTCCATTCTGCAGTTCTAAACAGATATGAAGTTTGGGGCCAGTATTCAACCTGCTTCAGTAGCTGACCTCTGGCTAACTCAGAATAGCTTTTCATAGATATAAGATGGTTTCTGAAGGCCTAGTGAAGGCCCTCCTGAACTCTGGAATTCCCTCATATTTTCCGCGAGATTCCCAAAGACAGGACATGATGCACTCCCTTCTCAAGCAGTCTTTTATTTTACTCTGCTTTCATTTCCCCACATGCTGATCTCTGGGAAGATCTGACTCATTCTTGAGTTTGTGAGCACTTTTCCAGCTGTAAGATGAGAGATATCTAGCTGTGTCCCCAGATGGTGGCAGAGCTACCAGAGCTCTCAATCCCTAGGGCCAGCTTCTCTTGTGTGACTACTGATGCTCAGGGGGAAAGCGATCCTTCTTAGGGATGGGGCACAGCTCAGTGCGGAATGACTGCCAAGCACGTACAAGACCCTGTCACACACATACACAGTACACAGAGAGCCTCTGTGAGTTTTGCCCAAACCAAAATGGGCTTACTATTTCAGCAAACTATAAATCCAAATCTTGATTCTGGCGCTCAAGAGTTGGGCAAACTGGGCAGGCTGCTCAGTGTTCTTTGGTTGCTGAGTGCTGGTGTGTTCTGCCACCTAACTTTTTGCGTGGTAGGGGAGAGACCAGCCAGCCTGTCACCTGCCTCGGGTTCCAATGTACATCTGCTGCCCATTGCGACCTCCCTTCTCTCTTCTCTCTTCCATCTGGCTAACCAAGGTCTGCAGTGGCTAAAATCACTGCAACCCGATGTGTTGTTTCTATTTCTATCAATTTTACTTTATTTGAAAGTAGCATCTTCTAGCCTACATTTTCCTGTCTCTGATTTGGAGTCCCCCCCCCCGAATCTTCACATTCACATTGGAAGTTTGAGTGACTTCTAAAACCCACCCTTCTGAAAGCATGGCAGCGCCCACCACAGACAATTCTGAATAATGTGAGTGCCATTCAAGCGTGAGCTGCCAGCGTTGCTGAGGTTTGATTGTCACTTAAGATGATTTTCTATATAATATTAATCATAATTTCAACCTGTTATTTAAAGCCACTGTTGTACTGTTAATGTTATTTTGATTGGAAGTCTTTCCATGTTTGGGGCAGTCTATACTTTGCTTGGACTTCACTTGCTTGGGAATTCACAAGGAAAACCTTCTATGCCATATTGAATTAGCCGAGTGGTAGACTGTGTGCCCCCAAAGGGGAGGAACACAGTGTTTTTCCAGGTGATAAGGAGAAAACTTTGCTCCTGAGTTAATGGCAATATATCTCAGTATTAAACAGTTTTCCTTCTACAAGAGCAAAGGAAAACTTTCCAAAGTCATTTAGTGGCTGAGGACAAACTGAAGTCCTAGCATTTCAAAGTACGATTTATGACCTCACAGATACCTTCGTTGACCCACACAAGCACTGACCAGCTTCAAAAGCATTCTAGATATTGATGGTTATACACGCTCATTGTCTGAGGTAAACTGCCAAGAAGTCTGAAAATGAAAGACTGGAGAGAGGGAAGGAGGGAGGATGTGAGGGAAGAAGAGAAAGATGGAGACAGAAAAGAGGTAGTTAGGGAAGAAACCAGCATAAGATTGGTAGACTGTAAGAGATTTATGGCAAAAATTGATCCTTTTCTCTACACACAACCTGTGGAGCCTGGGGGGGGGGGGGTGCTGAGTCAGAAGAGTGATTCAATGCACCCACAGCTCCTGTCCACAATAGGCCAGAAAGAAGACCTCAAAAGATCCACTTGTCTTCACCACACACATCTCATTGACGCCTGCACAACAGTATCCTTGCTAACAGGACCAAATATCTGCGTTATTTTAGTTAGTTAATTTTTTTCTTCTATCATTCAACATAAAACTCAACTAAATTTAAGAAGTCAACCTAAGATGATCTTACTACAGTATAAATGTAAAAATCTCATTCAACAAAATCCAGCAAGTTGCAGAATGAGGATTTAACACCATGTACACACGTGCTCACATGTCTACATTCTTTTCCTGCACTTGATGCTGAAGCACAGAAACATCCCCCACCTGTCTCCCAGCTCTTCTCCCTCCTTGAGGGGTCCACTAAGCCTGGGATTATCCTTATCACCTTATCACAGTTCCTAGAGCAGGACAGAAATGGAGCCTGTGCTAGCCTCTCTGAACTTTGACCAAGAAATGCAGGCTATAGAGCCCTTGGGAGATCAGGTCTTTAAATGTCACTCTCTACACTCAGCTCTTTCTTCTGCAGCATAGTGTACCGAAAGACCTTTGATATCCCTGTAACGCACACAACGAGGCCAGCTCTTTAAGCTGGAGTTCAAATAGTGTGGCTCTTGAAATTCACTTTTTAACTTCAGCTTCTCAAAATCCATTCTCGCTGTGCTGTAGCAATTAGACAAAAATAAATACGTTAAACTCAATTAAAGTAAAAAGAGTCAGGAAATGAGCCTTCCAAGAGGCCCCACAGGGGCCAGTGCTGATATTACTGTTTAGATTCGGAGAGTTCATAAGCAGTATCGCAGCCCTTATCTTTAGTGACCAGTTAAAATATAACCCTGTCGGGTTCTGAGATGGCCTCTCAAGCTGCCTTGAAAGCGTGTGGCACAGTGAAGCGGATGGAGTTGTGTCTACGTTCCAATGCAGCTAATCTCTCTGTCCCAAGTTTACTTGATTTAAGACCCTCACTGAGCTGTGTACCTCAGAGCATGTGCGTGATCTCTCCTGGCATTCCCAACCTTTTTCTGAGGAAACCAGTGTTTACAGTAAGGCCATGATGCTCCTTTAAAGCCCTGAGCCTGTGGGTGTAATGAGCTAGCAAGGCTCCATGGCTTTATCAGAAACACACAATGACAGACTGCTCTTGACACACCACCAAGTGCTGGGCTTTTGTAGTTTTGATTTGGGCATTTAGAGGCCACATCTGGGGAAGTTAGGGCTGATCCCCATGGTGGCTGGAGACTGATAGCTTGTCTGGGAAGCAGCCTGCTCTAGATCTGAACCCTTGGGTCTCTGACAAGCTGGCCCTGTAGGTACGTACACAGAGAGGCTGCTGCATTATGGCAATAGCTGCTGCATTCTCAATTCTTGGCACTGCAGCTATCATTCATTCAATTGCTCATTTTTTAAAAATGTACAAAATGTGTCCCACAAATCAAATCTGGGTTGAGCAGTTTATTATTGTTCCAGACAGAGTCTTGAATAGCCCAGTCTGGTCTTAAATTCAAAGGTAGCCTTGAACTCCTGATCCTCCCGGCACTACCTCTGAAGTGCTATGACTGCAGGTGTGCACCAGCACACCTGAGACTCTGTTAAACGTTTAAAGCAGCTAAATAAAAGTCAATACTGGGGGTTGGTGCAGTCTGAAATGAGTTCCCATGTCCTCCTCGTTCATGTAGTAAATAGACAAAAAACAAGAAGCTTTTAACTGAGTCAGAGGAAGAAAGAGAGTGACTGGTCCTCTGCATAGATACTGTCTGTGACTTGTCACTTTAAGCATGTGCAACACCCACACAGTAGTTCCCAATGTGAAGAATGAATGAAAAACAATGGAGAAGAACAGAAGACAGACAGCAAGGGTAAGAGAGGGTAAGGACGGAGGAGAGGAGAGATGAGAAAGGGGGCAGAGAAGGAGAGAGGAAAAAGGAGAGAGGCAGGAAGAGAGCCAGTGAGGACAGGGAAGGAGAGAGGAGAAAATGGGAGAGGGGCTAGAAGAGAACCAGTGAGGACATTTTACCCAGTCAAGCGGCCAAGTGTTTATACTCATTTTCAACTGAGGAAAAGTTCATCGGATTTAACATGGAGAGTCCTTACTCTTATTAGAAACAAAAGGCGTTATAGCTCTATAACTCAGAGAGGTGGCTGGAGCGGAGAAAGAAGGCAGCCCCTGGAGTGCACAAGAGAAAGGAGCAGAGAAAGTGAGTCCTGTGTTTGGACGTGTTTCTTCGGCTTCTGCTCCTTTCTGTTCCTTTACCTCCCATCCCGCAGTGGATGTATCTATCTATCTGTCTTGGAAGTGCTTGTCCAGAGAAGAAGCTGCCCGCTTCCTCCTGAGTAGACACCTTTATTTCCTTGCACATGCAAATCTTCGGAAAGAAACACATAAACTGAACAGCATCTAAAACACGAGACACTTCCTAAATAATATGATGAGGAGGCGGACAGTTCGTGTTGACAAGAAACACAGACAGCAATTGTATTTTCCAAGGAAAGAAAGATATTAGGCGTTTCCAAATAGCATCCTCATGGAAATCTACTTTCATGAGACGGCCAGTTCTGCCCTCAAAAGGAACATTATTTCATTCTGATAGGCCAAGTCAACGATCATGTTTTATGTGAGAATCTATGCAAAAAATAGCAGTTTGCCTGAAAGTTTGGGGGACAAACTTTGTCTGTAGATATACTCTGACAGTGTACTAAAGTGGAGGTGTTTTCTCTATAGCAAAAAAAACGCTAGAACAAGAGTTGGCCAGAGTCTCACTTACTTCCGGGAGTGTGTGTGTGGGGGGGGGCTCAGCAAACTCTGCTCTCAGTCAGTTCTGTAAAGGTGAGTTCATAAAACATCAGCCTGACAAGAAGTGGGAAGAAGGGCCTACTCTTCCAGACAGAGAAAAACGTGTTTGCAAATAGAAGAGAGATAGTGTAGAACAAAACACAAAAGATATCAGCACGTTAGAGTCCTTCTTACCTCTCCCTTCTGACAAATCTGTCCCTGCACAGAGAAGGCGTTTCTGGTACCCTAGAGTCAGCAGACTGCATCCAGGTAAACTCCAAGAGAGCCCAGCTCGGCTGATCCCACACCAGAGGAGTAGAGGCCAAAAGTGACACCCGTCGGCCAGCAGCCAGGAAAACTTCTGTGACAGGGACACCAGAAGATTTGAGCAAAGACAGCAATTCAAAGGGAGTGTTTGTGGTAATCCATTGCACATCAGTGTGCTAGTTCCATCTCAAGCATTATTTCTTTATTGCTATTATATTAGCTATTCCAATTGCAGCCTAATTATGGAGCAGCCAAGGAGGTGGTAAAGGATGGTGTCTTGTAAATCATATTCCAGGCCCGCATACTTTTAGTTAGAAAAATTTTAAAAAAAAAGTAGAATAAAAGAAAACCCACTGGAAAGCAAAGTTGAGCAGTCTTCTTTGTGATCAGTGAGTGAGTCACATAAAACAGTCTAAAGAACATGACAAAATATACAGCTGGAATCCACCAAAGAACCCTGCTTTGCCACAGCCTAGTGGGACTTGCCTTAGCCCCCTTAACATAAGGACAGAGCTGATGCAGGAGGCCAGGTAGAGGCTCCAGGGAGCAAGCTGTAGAGGAAGCAGAAACCTTAGGCCTGCACAGTTGAGTCTTACTCTAAGACTGGTCTACTTTGCTTCTAACTTGAGTATCTGGATGGAGAAAAATTCTTGATCACGTGGTTTTAGCTTCCTTCCCTTGTCATTCACTTAGGATAATTACTAATGTTTACCAGCTTCAAGTTGCACTGTCTGTCAAACAAAGTACGCAGGCTAACAATGTGTTCCCTGGTGTTGAGCGGCCCAGAGAGTCTTGTGGGCTTACCCTTGATTTTGGATGCATGAGACCACTTTTTTGTTACCTTGGATAGTTCACTCGCTCACTGAAGGGCCCTCTGTGTTTCAGGGCATGAACTATCTGGAAGATCGGCGCTTGGTGCACCGTGACCTGGCAGCCAGGAACGTCCTGGTGAAGACACCACAGCATGTCAAGATCACAGACTTTGGGCTGGCCAAACTGCTCGGTGCTGAGGAGAAAGAATACCATGCAGAGGGGGGCAAAGTAAGTCCTGATGGTAGATGACGAAGCATTTTCCTGACCATGCAGACTGATCACCCTACCTGTTAGCTGTGGGCAGCAGCTGCACCATGACCTGGGCCTAATCCAGGTCATCCTCTAGTTTACGAGTGGATTTTGGTGGGAGAGGTGGGAGAGAAGGAAACCTGCCCAGGGGCTAAAGAGAGCCAGCTTCCATTACCAGGTAACTATTAATAACTGTTGAGTTCCACTCCCTCCTCCAGGAGGAAAACACTCTTCAAAAGACCAGCTGGGAAATATCATTGCTAATTTAGTAGCACCGGCTCTTGAGACTCATATTCAGCAAGTGTTGTTCTGGGAGTTCCGGTGAGTCTTTGTGACTCATGCCAAGGACTGGCAGTGAGGGGGCTGGCTCTCTTCCCTCTGCATTGTTTTTAGTCACTTCAAGGCCTCTATCATGGCAGTGAGGGGGATACACAGCCCTGTCAGACCCCCGAAAGGTTCTCATCCATCCCCAGCTACAGCCCTCTTATCATACTGACAGTATGGCTCTAAATAGCACTGTCAACCCCTGAACTCGGTTATTGAAAACATACCCAAAGCCTGGGAGCTAAGGCTGCAGGGAAATACCATAGCCTCAGTTCATCAAAACAGTCCATTGCCCAAAATGCTCTCAGCTGTAGCTTTCATAAAGTGACTCTGGGACTCGTTCTCTGGTAAATTTGAAAATCCCCTACTGAGAGGGAGCATAGGCCTGAAGCCTGCCAAGGTCACCTGACTTTCCACATTAGTCATCTGTAATTACACCTAGAGTGACTGAATGTCTTCAGCTGTAAGCTAATAGTCTTCTTGCTGCTTTATCTCACATTGTCCCAAGGTGCCTATCAAGTGGATGGCTTTGGAATCAATTTTACACCGAATTTACACACACCAAAGCGATGTCTGGAGCTATGGTGAGTCAAAACTCTGATGCTAATGCATTTGTACTGAGGCCAAGCCAGCTCTTATTATTTGTTAATTGGCCTTATATGATCTGACAATCCAAGTGTTACCTTGCAAGACAGTGAGTATTCAATAATGGAGTTTCTGCCTATCTACTGTACTAAAAGAATCTGTCAAAGGAAATGAAGCTTAACTATAACACCAAGTATCACTACAGACAGCATGAAGTCATGCTGCAGGGAAGGTCATGGAGGGCGGGTTAGGGAGAAGGACCCAACTGTGGGTTGAGGCTTTGTTTGCAGAGGTCAAATGAACATAACCTCCTGCTGTGAACTTGAAGTAAACCAAAGGAAAAGAGAAAAGGAGGTTTCATGGGATGGGGGGATCATTTCTGATAGAGAAATGATGTTTTCTTAATAAATGTTCAAGACTGTTGTTTCACATGGTGCTTGATTTAATATCTCTGTGTCGAAGAGTAGCCTGACAAGGATGAACTATGAAGATAGCTGTGGGAAGGAAATAACAACAGGAAGACAGTTACACCTTGTTGAGCAAGAAAGAACCATCTCACCAGGCCCCAACTCTTCTACACACATCACAGCCATGCACAGGACCCTGCTTTCCTTCACAGGGTGACCACTCTTGCCAAGCCTTCTTTGCTTACTCTTCCCTTATCTTGAGCCTATTATGATCTCACCTTGGTTGCTGTGTCAGGCATTTTGCTTGTTGAATCTCCCCCCAGCAATTCACAGAAAGGTTAGAAAACACTGTCATTATAAAATGCAACTCTCACCTCAAAAGAGAAAAGTGATTCTGAACCAGACATGGGTGTTCATCACCAAGGATCACAAATTCAGGTTGCCCTGAACATTTCCCCCATGGAAGCAGATACATCAGGTTATATTAGCTACAGAACACAGAACGCTCTATATCCAGTTCTGTGCCGTTGACAACCTTGGTTCATAAGGTCCTTGTTTGCACTGCTGTTGAGTTTAAGGTACTCAGAGCAGCTGTGTAAGTGGGCAGATCTTGTTCTGTGACAAACTCATGCTCCATAGTTGCCCTTATCTTTAAGGTTATTACTGAACTATTTTACTTATCAGTCAGCAACTCTATGCCTCACATTTAGCTAAATATGTTATGCATAAGACCTTACTAGACCCCTGAAGTCATGCTGTGAAACAGATACTATTACTCTACTTGATAGGAAAACCAAAGGTATCAGCAGTTAAACCAATGGTTCAATGCTACAAAACCATAGGTTTTTCAATATTTAGCAATAATAATGACCAGAGATGAGGTGTTGTGTTATCCATTAACTCATGAAGCAATGACTTTGCCTGTTCTGTCTGATCAGGAGTCACTGTGTGGGAACTGATGACCTTCGGGTCCAAGCCTTATGATGGAATCCCTGCAAGTGAGATCTCATCCATCCTAGAGAAAGGAGAGCGCCTTCCACAGCCACCTATCTGCACCATCGATGTCTACATGATCATGGTCAAGTGTGAGTGACTGGGGTGACCATCCACACTCATGTAAATAGGTCTGGAAGAACATGACTACTCTTAGCCAAGAAGCCAAGGCCTTCATTTCCCCAAAGAAACAGCATCAGTCTTAAGGCAGGCAGACAATTCCAGAAACATCATAAACTCTTTCTGCAAGCATTCTTTAGGAAGTACTTGCTTGACTCATTCTGACCTCATATTTGCCCATATTGGCAAGTAAAAAAAAAAAAAAATCAAAACTTTAAGAAGCCATTATTCCAAAATATTCTATTCTCTGAGTTTCTCTGTGAACTTACAAGGTTGAATTCTACTTAGAGACCTGTTGCTAGAGAGACTTAATGTTTTAAAATGACTAACAATGAGTGCCTGTGGGAGTTTGATAGAACCACCAATTCTGCCTTGGCTTAAACCATCCAAACAGTGGATTTATGTGAGGTCTCCTATAGTAAAGCAGTTAATCATTCTAATCCCAAAGAGAGTGTGCATTTGGATCAGTGCTGTTATCCCACACAAATCACAACTGTACTGTTAAAACAACATTACACATATGATAGCGCTGGTATAAAAACAGCACAGCAATATGACAGAGCCATTGCTTTAGTTTGGTTTCTGTTGCTGTGATAAAACACTGATCAAAAGCAGTGTGTGGAGGAAAGCCTTCATTTGGCTTATAGCTTACTGTCCATAATCAAGGGAAGTGAGGGGAAGAGCTGAAATCAATAACCTGGAGACAGGAACTAAAGCAGAAACGTAGGAACACTGCTTGCTGGCTTGCACTCATGATTCATTCGGCCTGCTTTCTTTTTGTTTTATTTTTTATTAAATTACAGTTTATTCACTTTGTATCCCAGCTGTAGCCCCCTCCCTCATTCCCTCCCAGCCCCACCCTTCCTCCCTCCCTCATCTCCTCCCATGCCCCTTCCCAAGTCCACTGATAGGGGATGTCCTCCTCCCGTTCTCTCTGACCCTGGCCTATCAAGTCTCATCAGGACTGGCTGCATTGTCTTCCTCTGTGGCCTGATAAGGCTGCTCCCCCCTCAGGGGGAGGTGATCAAAGAGCCAGCCAGACAGTCCCTGTTCCCCTTGCTAGGGGACCCCCTTGGAGACTAAGCTGACATGGGCTACATCTGTGCAGGGGTTCTAGGTTACTCCTAGGTTGGAGTACCAGTCTCAGAAACAACCCATTTGCCCAGATATTTTGGTTCTGTTGGTCTCCTTTTGGAGTTCCTGTCCCCTCCAGGTCTTTCTATCTCCCCCTTCTTTCATAAGATTCCCTGCACTCTGTCCAAACGCAGATGCTATGAGTCTGAGCATCTGCTTTGATACCCTGCTGGGTAGAGTCTTTCAGAGCTTTCTTAGACAACTGAAATACACCAGCCAAGGAGTAGCACCACCCATGATGGGCTGGGCCCACTCACATCATCATTAATCAGGAAAATGCCCAGCAGACTTGCTTGGGCCAGTCTAATGGAGGCATTTCCTCAGTTAACATTTCCTTTTCCCGGGTGACTCTAATTTATTTCAAGTTGGCAAAAAGATAAGGAGAACAGCCAGGTTAACATAAATAAGTATAGATCTCTGAAAGTAGACCAGAGAGTTAATCTTTTTTCTCTGCTTTGCTCTGAGCTGAGGAAGCTGAGGCCAGGAAAGGTTACATGATTTGTATAAGGTCACATAGCAGTTTGGCCTAAAATAGCTTGCTATCCAGTTGAAGGAAATAAACTGAATCCCCAAAAGGCACAGGGATTTCTAGTGCACAGTTTGCCCTCCCCATTTCTGAATCTATATTTAGATCATTGTGTAATGGAGTGCACCAGGGCAGCTATTAAATATATCTTCACATAGAAGGTACTAGCTTTATGAGACCTTAGGTTTAGTCACCAGCACTGTTAAATACATACATACATACATACATACATACATACATACATACATACATACATACATACATACATACATACATGAGTGATGAGACATGGATCCAACCTTGTCACTTGCATGAATGGGAACTAATTTTAAAATGCAATAAGACCTTGACATTTCTCTGATTTCTAGTGTGGAAGGCTTTAGAGTAGGGACCATGAAAACACAGAGGCATACCAAAGTCAGAGTTGTTCAGTAATGATTTCACACAGCACTACCCCATCATCACTGAAGATCGTAATGCAAGAATGATGACTAAGAAAGGACACTGTAGAAATTTTAGAGTATATGTTATTGTTGCTCTGACTTAAAAATAATGTATAAGGTTGGGAATGAATGCACAGGGCCCTAGGTTCCAGCCCCTGAATGGCAATAACTTCTCATGGACTTTAAGAACTGACCAGTGTCAGCTCATGTGCCAAGGCTGAAAAATCTGTCACAAAGACCATGTCTTCATCATTCATTTGCCTAGCAAGATCACAGCAGAAATGCTTAAAACAATGCCCTCCTCATTGTTTCCTCCAGGACTGTAATTGTGCTTCATTTCTTTCTCAGGCTGGATGATAGATGCTGAAAGCCGCCCAAAGTTCCGTGAGTTGATTGTTGAATTCTCCAAAATGGCCCGAGACCCCCAGCGCTACCTTGTCATCCAGGTACCAGACCACAGCTTGCACTTCCATTGCTGAAATCTCTCCAATATCTGCAGATACACCTGTGGGCCATGTTTCTGTTAATATAGCCTTCTGTGTATCTGAGCTGTTTCAGTTATGACACAATGGTTTTGAAATACAAGGGGAGAAGAGGTAGGTCCTATCCAACTCCAAGTCACCAATTCATTTATGAAGTCCGACTAGGACCCAACCTGCCCCTCACCTCACTTTTGGTTTTTTAGAGCCATGGCTTTGCTAAACAGAGAAGCAAGACTTCACTGTCAACCTACGTGGCTTCTATCCTGACTCTGTATTTACCCCTGTACAACCAATCAGCCCGTCTCCCCGCCTAATTCTGGAATAACAAAATTAAGATTGTTTGACTTTATGGATTTAAAGATTCAGTAAAATAATATATACAAAACATTGCATAGCATTGGGTTGTGGACAATAAATGTTCCCATTGCTTCTTTTTCTCCCCTCTCTTCAACTACTTTTCATATGGATGCTGTCAGATCCAGGAGGCTTTGTGTTTCGTTATATTCCCAAGTATCCACACATTAAAATGGAAAGACTCTGATTATCGGAGACCCACAGAGCTTGTACTGTAACTAAAGTGGCAAACCTGTAGACACCTGTTGATAGAGACACTCACTCCTGTAGCCAGGCAGCAGAAAACCAGCTGCATTGCCCTTTCTAATAGTCCCAAAATCTCTGTTCCAGGGAGATGAAAGAATGCATTTGCCGAGCCCTACAGACTCCAACTTTTACCGCGCCCTGATGGATGAGGAGGACATGGAAGATGTAGTTGATGCCGATGAGTACCTCATCCCACAGCAAGGCTTCTTCAGCAGCCCATCCACATCTCGGACACCTCTCCTGAGTTCTCTGGTATGAAGTCTCTTCCTGTCTCTCTCTCTATCTGTGTCTCTCTCTTTCCTGTCTCCCTTATGATTTAAATTGATTTAGTTTCCATTTTCCAGATTTTCTTTAGAAAAAAGGAGTAAATTTTAACCAAATAGAACCTAGACTAATAATCAACACCTAAGGATTTGGGTTATTTAATTGCCTAATTTTTCTAGGCTGTAATTCAAGACAAAAATGCTTCTCTCAAAAAAAAATGTTCAAAGCGTTAAACATCTTGAAATATTTTTACTCCATGAGACCCATCTCCCGCATCCACTAGAAACTGATGAGAACGTACGAGTGAACCATAAGCAATATTGCTTTCTTTTTTTTTTCCAGAGTGCAACCAGCAACAATTCCACTGTGGCTTGCATTAATAGAAATGGGGTACGTATGACCATGTTATAAACCGGAATCAAATAAGGTACACAGGGAATGTGCCCATCTTAGCCCACATTGCACAGACTTTCCTTCTGCACATTCTTTTCTACACCGTGGCTTCTTTGACTGGAATCCACAGGACCACTCCAAGTGTGGTTCATAGGCAGACAGTATCACCATCACCTGGCAGCTGTCAGAAACAAGATGTTCAGGCCTCCAGCAGACCACTAGCAGGATCTGTGGGGGTGCCACCAGTGGGCATGAGCCTTCCTAGTCACATTGAAAGTGATGAAATGCGGTGCCCTCAGTCAGTGTCTGCACTATGCTCTCCAGAAGCCGCTACACCGCAAATTCAATTTTAACTGGCATGAAATAAAATGTAAAATTCAACTCCTCACACATTTCATGTGTTCCGTAGCCACATGTGGTAAGTGACTCCCTTATAATGGAACACAGATTACAAGGCATCTCCATCTCTTCAGGAAGTTCTATTAAATGAAATGATCAGGACATTGCCTGTCTGTAGCCCAGTGGCACAGGTGTGACTTTGAAGCTTGTCAGAAATCTACTCTGCCAGACTTCATTGAATCTGCTTTTCTTGTTTGGTTTTTGTGGCAAAATCTGACAATGTAGCCCAACTGGCCTTGAACTCATGATCCTTGTGCCTCAGCGTCTAGAGTTCCAAAATCACAAGCATGGGTCAGTATACCCAGCGTGAATCTGCATTTTAATGGGGCCACAGGTGAAGTTATTCTACAGAAAAGTCTGAGTGATTTTCACTGAAGTATCCCTGCTTCTCTCTCCCACAGAGCTGTCGGATCAAGGAAGACAGCTTCTTGCAGCGGTACAGCTCTGACCCCACTGGTGCCTTAATAGAGGACAACATAGATGATACATTCCTCCCTGCGCCTGGTGAGTAGTGTGCTCAGGAAACAGTCGTCGGGCCTTGGTGTCTACTCCCACTTCCTCAGGCGCAAGTCAGTTGTGGAATTGTCAGAGGTGGAGACTGTGTAAATTTGTAGACACAGTAAGGAAGAAGCAGAAACCGAGAGAACTTAGCATACTGAGAGGCCTGTGACAAATACATGTTACAACTGGGTTTTCTGCAGATTTGATGGCTTGGAAGCAAGTAGCAAAATATCCATGTATGTATGTACGAATGCATGTATATATGTATGTTGTATGTGTATATCTGAATATAAAAGGTGGATATATATATATATATATATATATCCTCTGTGTGTGTGTGTCTCTCTCTCACACACACACACACACATACACACACACACACACACACACACACCATGTTATCCTTTCAAATTTGCAAAAACTGCTTATGTCCATTGCTTTGAGAAGTACAGAAAATGTCACCGGTTATTCTGTAGTCTCCATATTATTTCCTGAACTTCCTTGCCCTTGGGTGTCAATTGTCTTGCTGAAGACATTTGCAGGGTTCCCGGTGAGCTATAGAACTCTGCTTTGGGATCTTGGGGTGAGGCTTTACTAATTCTCTCACATATTCTTTTTCATTTCAGAATATATAAACCAGTCTGTTCCTAAAAGGCCAGCAGGCTCCGTGCAGAACCCTGTCTATCACAATCAGCCCCTGCACCCAGCTCCTGGCAGAGACCTGCATTATCAGAATCCCCATAGCAATGCCGTGGGTAACCCTGAGTATCTCAACACTGCCCAGCCCACCTGCCTCAGTAGTGCATTTGACAGCCCTGCAATCTGGGTCCAGAAAGGCAGCCACCAAATGAGCTTGGACAACCCTGACTACCAGCAGGACTTCTTTCCCAAGGAAGCCAAGCCAAATGGCATCTTTAAGGGCCCCACAGCCGAAAATGCAGAATACCTACGGGTAGCACCCCCCAGCAGCGAGTTCATCGGAGCATGACATAGAGGGCCATCATGCCAGCTACAAAATTTCCAGACTTTGCCGAAGCCCAGGACCAAGCCGTGGCTGCACCTCCACTTCCTACAGCCATGCCCACGTTGTGCCAAATGTCAGAACCTCAGACTGGTTTTTAAACCGTAACTCTGACAGGCTTTGTCATTGAGCCAAGAAGCGGGCCCCTCCCCTGGTGCACTTTGGGAAGTTGAAGGTACGTCTTTTAATCTTCAAAATGTGAAGATTCCACAAAAATGCATCCATCAAGAATGTTGTCCATTGGAACAGAAGTTTACCTCATGGTGAGGTACATAGGGAAAAAAACATACATACAGAGATTTGCTGCACAGGGACCTTTGGGATTTTTATTGTCTTTATCAGTTTGATTTACGGGCTTTCCCAAGGAGGAAGAAGTTTGCTTGGAGTATGTATGACACAGAGTTGCCTAGAGCTAATTGTGACTAGAACGGTTGGTTCTCCTAGCTCTGCTTCAAGACACTTCCGTGGCAAGACAGGACACAGGAAGACCTGCGCCCCTGAGCAGGCTACACTATACAGCATTAATCATGGCAGGTACAATAGGTTAAGCCACTTTGTTATGTACTAGGGCTGGGAGAAGATGGATAAAGGGATAGAATTTTACTCAGACTTACTTTTACATAAATATGTCCCTGGTACTTAACACATACTAGCTTATCAGTGTTTTCTATTAGACTTCCTTTTATGTTTTCTGCTTTGTTGTTTTGAGTTGTAATATGCTTTCTTGTCTTGGTTTCATGAAGTCAACAACAACAAAAAGCAGTATTCTCAAAGAACAGCTACTATCCTACATTTAAATAATCCGTGTTCTAAACGAAAGCCTTTAGTTAAGATGGAGGGACGATGCAAAAGTTCACAGAGAAATATTTTAGTCTCTGCATCATGTCTGTTGAGGTGTGTATCATGAGACTACAAAAGTGATGCTGCTCTTCAAATCCCCTCTGCCTTCACCCCTACACACCACAAAACTTGTATAAGCCATGCATGGAGGATAATCTTTTTCATTTTTAAATTTGTTTACTGGAGATATTTTTTTTCTCCCTGATAAGCTGCCACCAAATGTTTTCTTTCCATTTGAGGAAGTTTATCTAGGCTACTATGGAATAAGTGACAGCGCATGGTGGGACTGGCATGCAGGCCTCGGGAAAAAGAATGTTAAAAACAGAGTGGAATTCGAGCGGCAAGCATGCATTAAGAGCTTGAAAGTGACGACAGTGCTTTGGGGAGAAATTCATGCCTAGGTAATGAATTTCACCACTACCATTGGTGCATCTAGCGACTCGAGATCGCAGTGTTTGTTTTTACTTTGGTCATCCTTGTAGGCAAATTGATTGATAGCCATTTTTGGTAAACAATATTTTAATGCTCTTGGTGTCTATCCCTTCTCATTTATCAAGGGGTGGACAGAAGTGAACTCATAAACACTAACCATAAACCAGACCAGACATATCAGCCAGGCACCAAGAGCACAGACCAGGGATGATGCATTCTATTAGAGACATCTAAAAACTTCACAACTAGATAATGTTGTTGGTTATGCTCTGAGAATAAAAAGTCTTAAACACCAGGGAATGGAAAGTATGCATTCATAGAGCAGCGGTTCTCAACCTTCCTAATGCTGCGGCCTTTAATACAGTTCCTCATCTTGTAGTGACCCTCCACCACAACATTATTTCATTGCTACTTCAGAACTGTAACTTTGCTACTGTTATGAATCACAGTGTAAATATCTAATATGCAGAATATCTGATAATGCAACCTCTGTAGGGGTCATGACCCACAGGTTGAGAAGCACTGCCTTTTAAGACCTCAACCAAGAGGGTAGTAACCAGGGGACTCGGTAAGTGAGTCAAGTACAAGGCCAAGTTATTCTTCCTGACACACTTGCTGCTCCCTCAAGCCTGGGAATTAGAGTTGCAAGATCCTCTGAGTTTCCTAACTGTTGTTCACTCCTGGCAATGTCAGACTGTCCTCTATGAAAATAAGCAATGAAAAAAATTAAGCAACATTTCTAGAGTTTGAAATTCCATGCCATTGCCAGAAAATGCCACTTTGATCATTATCCACCAAGAATGCAGAGGAAACATTTAGGCAGGTGTTTGCTCAGAATTGGGATATAGAATGACTTGCTTGTCAGAAGCAGGAGACCGGTGAGGGAGAGCAGTTGAAAGCCAGTCAAATTGTAGCAATGAAATCCTAGGATTTTTTTACTTTGAGACACTTTCTTATAACAAAATAAAGAAGCAAAAGCTATTCAAACTTGCTTTTCTTCTTATGTAAGTATTCTGCATTAAGTTTAGTTGTTGTCAGGGCTAACGTTATGTTTGTCCATGTGTCCTCTGTGTGTCTGTGCAGGGAGACATGGAGCTCTGAGAGCTGAGATGCAGACCCTTTTGCAGGGATTCCCAACTTCCCTGATGCTGCAGCCCATTAATACAGTTCCCCCATGTTGGTATATAAGGAGCCCATATCATTATACCTTATGAAAATTACTTTTTTACCTCATGATGGGAAATGATAATCTCTTAAATCCTTAATCCCTCTGCCATAAACTTTATAGAGACATGCTCTTGTGAGGCAGCAAATTGCATTCCAGCCAATGATAACATGGTTTAGAGAATTTTTTTTAATTTTTTATTAATTACACTTTATTCATTTTGTATCCCCCCATAAGCCCCTCCCTCCTCCCCTCCCGATCCCACCCTCCCACCCCTTTCTGCATGCATGCCACTCCCCAAGTCCACTCTTAGGGGAGGTTCTCCTCTTCTTTCTGGTTTAGAGAATTTTTAAACACTCTTTCTTTTTGCTCTTGCATTCCACCCATCCCCAAACTGTAGACCTAAAAGGGCCTTGAACTGCATAAGTACCAAAGGCCTGGTTCTGGGTGCTGTGCTATCATGAGAAATTTCCAGCCAGCAACATTTCAACTCGATTGGTCTTAAACCCGTGGACTTTTCAGAGTACACACAGGATATTTCAATAAACACCAAAATCAAGAGACACTGGAGGAGAAAAAAATTAAAAGACTTGAGAAGGGGACTCTTGGCAGCAGTGGTGGCTGCTCATCTGTGTTCATTGGTCACACTTGTATAAGACAACGCTGGTACATGATGATGGCGTACTCATTTCTACCCTCACTGCAAATGAGAATTCCTTGAAGAGCTTAAATCTCCCCAGTCCCTACAGTCTAATGCAGTCAGAATCCCAGAGAGGCACCCCATTTGGGGTTCTAGTAGAGAGCCTGGGATGAAGTTTGCACTGTCTTCATCAATTGGACAGGCCTGCCACTCTACTCTGTCCAAAGTCAGAGTTGAATAAAAGGGCCTGGGTAGGGGAGAGCCCCACCCTGGCTCACAGAAAGCATAATCTGCAGTCATCACTATGCCTGAGTTGGGCACAAGTGTGGCCTTTCCAAAATCCTCCTTTTTCTTTCTTTCTTTTTTTTTTTCCAGCACAACCTTTATCCTGAAAATGGCAAATATGTAAAGCTGAGCCTTCCTAAAGTCCTGGGACATCTTGTTAAAGTCTTGGGACATTTTGTGTTATCTGAGAAACAAGGCATAAAACAGACCACCCTCCACCTCCCCTGAATAAGCAGTTCCCAACTGAATAAGCAGTTGAATAAGCAGATGTTAAAACTTCGCTTAATCTCTACTTTCTTTTGATAAGCATGTGTTAGTATTACAGCATGGTGATCTGTTTACATTCCCTTGCTTCAGGGCTGTAAAACCTTAACCGAGCAGAAATCCCTCACTCTTTCTCCCAGCCACACCTGCCATTCCAGAGACAAAAATCTTTGTACTGTTAAAGTCACATTTAGACAGAATTTGTAAATGTAAATGTATTTTTGTAACTTTTTTTCAGTATAGTGTTCTCTTTATGTAGCACTGAACTCTGTAAAGTATATTTTTTTAGGAAACTCATTCTTTTATCTTTTTTTTTAACTAAAGAAAACTGTTGCTTTAGAAAAACTGCAATGAAATTGAAATCTTTGCTGAAAATGGTTCAACTGGGGTGAGAAGTCTATTTTCTCTTAGTGAATAAGCAGCCTCATCGCAGAACTAAGCTAGGTCGGTCATTGCCACAGTGAATGAGAGGAGGGTCGTTTCAGCACCATACAGACAGAAAAGGGGAAAGGCGCATGAGCTTAGTGCTGCTGTGAACAAGAGCTATGGATTCTGGGGCAAGGTTAGCATAGGGATGCCTGCCTGCTCATCACTACCAGAAGAATTTAAATGTGTGTCATTCTCTGATGATCCAATATGACCTTGTAAATGTAAGAGATTCAATAATGCAACACTTTGTTGGTTTACATATGCTAACGTGACATTAACACCAATTACTTTGTTTTTATACTTACGATGTTGTTCACTTATTACTGTGTCCTAGAAATGTCTAAAAAGCAACAACAATATTTGTGCTGTTTGCCTTACTCACTATATTCCTTAAAATCTACCAAGTGCAGACATGGTCACTCCAGAGAAGGTTTTGTCAGTCATGCATGCACCATAAAATCACCTAGGTTGGCTTTAAAACTCTTGAAACACAGCCATACCCAAGAACAAATATGAATCTTCATGGGGCAAAATCTGGGAATTTTTACATTTTAGAAGTCCTAAGTCCCTTGTCATGTATAGACAATGTTAAAAATCACCAACTTGGGGATTAGCTCCAGACTCACAGCTGACTCTGTAGATGCAGATGGTATCCAGACCCAGAGAACCCTACACCTGCTTGTCAGCATCTTTCGGGGGGGGGGGGGTCCAGGAACCTAGGCAGGATTCCCATGGCAGCTGTCCAGGCAGTGAAGGGTAAAGCATCTAGCCAACAGATGTAGCCGAGGGAAATGAAACAAAGACATCCCCCCACCATCACAGCGTTGCCTAGGCGAGCTCTAGGAAGAATGAGTGCTGGTAAGGTAAAGGTATGACGCTGCTTCTGTGTCTAGCACCACTGGCAACCCACCAACCTGTGGCAACCCACTAACCTCCATCATCCAGAATGAAAATGCTGACCTTTTATTTTGACTGCAAAGGGCAGACTTTAAGACAATTGCTAAATACTTGGGCGGCTCTTGCGAAAATAAAACTCCAAGAAGGGGCATCTTGCACTAAGAAACACACATGCATGCATGTGCACCCCACACGCAGATACACTGCACCTCGGATAAAAACTGAAGCAGCTAATCCACATTTTCCTGCCGTGTGTGTACATGCACAGTAGTCCTCTGAGCTCTAAACCTGTCTTGCCCAACTCACCAACAAAATTGCTAGGAGTCATTACGTCAACACCGGCAGAAAACTCCAAGAGGATAAAGTTTACCCATCTTCCATGCACCTTTTATTTTGAAATTGTAATGCCCTACTCTCCTGATTTGGATACAAAGTATTGTTGCTGTGTAATATACTGGCCTGGAAATGAAGACACCCCAGGATATGATGACTATTTCTAGACATAATGACATGACTGATTAACACCAGACAGCTATAATTTCATGTTAGTTTCTTTCAAGCTTTACAGCTTCATATATGGTACATTTTAACTTTGGAAAGTTTCACAACAATGAAAGCAATATTTGTACAAATGCAAAGCCAGATGTCGTTTATATGCTGTTGATTAGAATGTGCTGATTGTACACTATTAAACATTAGATGTATGTCCTTTATTGTTTGCTACTCCTAAGAACTTAATAATTTTGCATTCTTTGTTAACAGTGCAATGTTGTTTTCTATTATCGTTCATGTCTGACTATAGACATTTTTTTCTTGACTTTTTCTTGATTTCAAATTTATTTTCATTCAACTTGCTGATTTTTGTGGTGCTGTGTGGACTGATGAGCTGTATTCCCCCACTCCAACTGAAAACATTTTTAAAAATTAATAAACCTTATTTTTAGAGAAGATTTAGAATCATAGCAAAGTATAAAAGAAAGTACAAGAAACTCCTGTTCCCACATGTCTGGCCTCTTCATCGCACCCATCCTTATTGTAGTAACTGAATAACTCTGTAGAAAAAAAAAAAAAAACCTACAAGCCAGCTCAGAGACTTCCCTTGTATAACTGGACTCCACCTCCTAGATTTTGCTTAGACTCTTCAGACACAATATGATTCTTTCCAGGCTTTCATATTCTTAAAAGAACAACTTCAGAAACCCAGACACAAGAACTGAACAGCACTGACTAGGCTCACTCATCAGCTGGCTGGGGAGGGCCAGGCCAACACCTGCAGTTGGTGCCCCTGGCCAATGAGTCGTCTATGGGGCTTTAAGTTCTTGACTCTCCAGTAGAGTCTGGCTCCAGAGAATAAGCCAAACTCTTCATTCCACAACCTTCCCTCCACCAGCTGTTCCCACACAATGCCCTAGCATTATTTCTTTTACACAGGAGGACGGAGGACAGGAAGCTGGGCTCTGCTGGCTCTAGCAATCCACAATAGCTACAGTGCTGCTTCTGAATCATTTCCAGAGAAGCTGCCGCTTTATCTCTGTGTTTTTCATTCTGGACACTATCAGTCACTTACAAGTGTGGGGTTGGTCCACATAGAAGGAGGTCTCCAAGCCAACGAGGTCCAGGTATAGTAAGCAAATGAAGAGCTTTCCAGATCCTCTGGGCCTGGAATCTAATGTGAGAGTTGACCACTCTCTCTGCTTCCTGACCTTCCACCCACTGATTGGCTGTATCCCCACGCTCTGCATGTGGGCCTCTGGAAAATAAATCTATGGAAGCTTCCAGAGCACATTTGAGTATGTTAAACTCTAAGCCTCCAAATAAAGAGTTTAGCTCCTCCACAGAGAAAAGCAACTTACAGCAAACAATATAAAGGCAGGAATGTGCTTGCGTCCCTGGATTTCTCTTTCATAATTGAAAGTCATGGTTCACAATCCCAAGTGAACAACCTTAACCTCCGGCCAAACCTTGGGCTCTACAGTTGCTCTACAGTCTGTATTTCTAGCTGAAGTTTTGAGAGCATTTCAGCCTAAAGAGAGTTTGCCTTTCAGGTAATAATCACTTACCTTTAACTCTCTTTGAGAGAAACAGTTCCCAGTTATGGAAGTCTAGGAGAGAGGAACAGCATCCCCTATAAGCTTTGCCCATGGTGTTCTCCATGATCTGTGCTTCACTTCCCCTCCAGCCACCATGGCTTTTCTGTTCTTCGCAAAAAGAACACTGAAGAACTTGAAGGAAGAAGCAATGAAAATATGTGAGTTCTTTTCCCCAATATCACAGTGACTATGATATGATAGGATCCTGTGGATATCCATTTGTTGATTGTAATTGTGTGGCCCTATAGAGCCTCCATCCTGTTGCCCATCAGTGATGACGAAAGCTCCTAGATACACAAATCCTATGTGGATGGCTGGGCCAGGCCCTGAGGTCCTTTGGCTTGGGTGCCCAACTCCATATCTGGTGACTAACTATGTAGCTTACGTGCTGGGTCCAAATTAACCAGAAACATTGTTATGATTCCAATCAATCCTGAAAGTTTTCCCGTATATCCTAAACAAGAAGCATTCCTAGCCTCAGGAGCATAACATCACATGAATATCTGCAGCCAGAGTAACAATAGAGCCTGCAGTGTCCAGCTCTCATCTTTCAACTATGGTTCAACTGATGTACCCAGAGTCTAGACCCCCAGGCTTTAATAGGGATCCGCAGGTCCCAGCAACCTATCATGATTCACACATTAAGCACACGTGCCATGTGGTTGGCTCCACATTTAGCTTCCCACCTCTAGAGAAGGACAGGAAGAGATTGTGGATGGCAGATGCCATATCGAGAACAAAACAACCCCCAACACTGCTTGGAACTGAAGGTGGCGTAGCCCAAGCTGTCTGATCACTGAGTGTAAAATCTCTAGAGTAAACAACCCATTCAACAGTCTACATGAACAACCTTTTTCTTGAACTAATGAGGCAGTAATAGTCCAAGAGGAGGTGGTGGCTGAGGAAGAATCAGCCATTGTCATGTTTCTCCAAGACCGAATGTGACCACTCCCTAGTTGCTGCTTTTATTTTGATGGAGGTTGCTGCCTTAAACATTTCCATTTTCCTGAATCCTGTCCCTGGGTCTGCCTTCACTGAACCCGAGCAGAAGAGGAATGAGGGTAATGTTTGCTGTGACAAAGCATCCTATGCCACTATACTTGCAGTCAGCTGAATGAACGCTTCCCATATAGAAACATGTAAATGAGAAGTGGTCCAAGACAGGCTCTACCAGACAAGAAAAAAAATGAAGGGGTTTGTGAAAGTAGGTGTGCTTTTCATACACATCAATGAAATGAAGAAGTTGACAGGGCAAAGTCCATAACTGGAAATATCTATTAGATGCAATATTTCAGTACAGTTTGTATGTGTTTGTTTGTGTCTGTGTGTGTATGTGTGTGTGTGTGTGTGTGTGTGTGTGTGTGTGTGTTGTACACATGTGAGCACAAAGGCCAGACAATGACAGCTAGTCTCCTACTCTCTTGCTGTCCTCTTCCTTGAAACAAGGTCTCTCCCTGAAACTACATCAATATAACAACCAGCATGACACAGCAATCCTTTTGTCTCCATCCTGCCACAGCACCAGAGTAACAAGCATGTGGCCATATTTTGCTTTTTACATGGGTGCTAGGGTTTTGTACTTGAGTCTTTATATTTTCATAGAAAGTGTGCTTGCCTACTGAAAGCTCTTCAAATGGCTTTTGAGTGTTCTTTCAAAGTTTCAAATAGTATTATTGAAGCGTTTTAGAATACAGAAAAAGATGAGAATCATTCCAATTCAATCTAAAAAGAGAATACTAAAAGAAAGGAAGGAAGGAAGGAAGGGAGGGAGGGAGGGAGGGAGGGAGGGAGGGAGGGAGGGAGGGAGGGAGACAAACAGGCTACAGAAAGATTTGTTTGGGGGTATAGTAGTTTTCTAAATGAGATACAGGAAGTTGGATCATTTGTGCCAGAAATTTAGGGTAGCTCACACAGGTATTTTGCTTATTTTCAGAAGGCATCCTAAGGAAGGCACTTGCAGATGCTCATGAACCATTCAGTAAGATGCAGTCACAATTAATTACTTGATAACTGAGCAATGGATAGCAACATTTTAAAGTAGATAAACATGTCTACCAGAGAACTTGACATCTTGTATGAGAATCAGATAAGATGCATCATTACCACTTCCACCACTTGAAATCCTTCAGATATTCAGTGTTCTGGAAACAAGTAGCTTAGCTTTCTGTCACTATTAAAAACAACAACAACAACAAAAAAAAAAGGCAAGATAAATGACTTGAAGAAAGAACAGTTCTATTTTGACTTGTGGTTTTAGGAATTTTGTGAAAAGCTGCTGTGGTCTTGGGAGAAGCAGAACATCCTGGCAGAGCTACAGGGCGGAGCTAAAGTGCTCAGCTCAGCTCCTAGCCTGGAGGGAGAGAGAAGGTGCAGAGGGAGAAGGGAAGGAGAGGGGGAAGGGAAGGAGAGGAAAAGGAGGAGGATGGCATGAGAGTGGGGTGAAAAAAAGGAATAAAAGGGAGAAAGAAAGGGAGCACAATCCCCTAAAAACATATGTCCCTCCCCACTGTGACCTGACTCCCAATCACACCATTCTAGACACTAAGTCTTTAACACACTCTTCACAGCACATGATAGATAAAGCTAAACTACGGCAACAAGAAAGACCCATTATGAAAACATAATGTATTTGAATCTTTAGAACATAGTGAGCAAAAATCATCATGTCCACAACAAAATCCAGACAGCAGCCTGATTCTATAAGTAGTTTTATTGACTATGGCTGTTTTTTAGCTTAAATGGCAGAGTTCAGTAACTGAAATAGAGATCCTATGATCTCCAAAACCAAAACTTTTTCCTATATAGCCCTTCACAGGAAAATACTGACCACCCCAAAAGAACTTACTACGTGTGTGTACATAAGTACGTACACGTATATATGTATACATATATATATATATATATATGTATGCATATATATATACACACATATATATAATAAAATCAATGGGGCTATCACATGCAAATGTAATCAATATCTTTTCCTATATTGTTTAGATGACAGTATAGTGGGGAGGAATTCTATTAAAAATAATAATGAGGAACTGAAAAGATGACGTAGCAGTTAAGAGCAAATATCATTGCTGCAGAGGACCTACGTTTGGTTCCCAGCGCCTACTATTGGGTTGCTCCCCACCACCTACAGCTCTAGATCCAGGGGCATCTGAAGCTCTAGCCTCCACATATACTTGCACTTGTATGTACACAGACACACATACATGTAACTAGAGACACAAAAAATATTTTTCTTTCTTACTAATTTTTATTATTTTGAGAACTCAATATATGAGTATCATATTTACACCTGTAATTTATACCCTTTCCCCTTCTCTCTTCAACTCCCCATCCCTCCTTCCACTTCCTCTCAAATTCATGAGCTCTTCTTTAATTAATATTGTTATATATGTATATGTTCAAGTGTCTAAGGATAACCACTTAGTATTGGATAACCTTATCAAGAGGCTGGTCCTAAAGAAACTCATTCTCTGTAGGAACTTGAGCACTTTATACCATCTCCATGGCATATCAACGGGTAATGTCATTTATGCAGGTCTCTAAGGAACCACATTGTTGAGCTGGCATAGGGCAACTTCCTTGTCAAGTCAAAAAGACCCTGCCTCATGCAGGTGTGCTGCTCCTTGGCTCTTGCAATCTTCCCCCTCCCCTTTTGCTATTTTCCCAGAAGTGTAAGAACTTGCTGTAGATGCATCAGTGGGAGATGGGCACC